TTGGTAAGATTAGGACTTTGTTTTGACACTGAATCATGTGCATTCAACGACCATACGATTTAGTCTCGTCAAATGGCACCGTTGCTGGGGAATTAAGGCATATTTTTGAGTAAAATCATCGATTTTGACTCAGTCAACTCTGATTTTTCTATTTCTTTCTTGATTTTAATCCAAATTGATCCTACACTGAGCTATTTGTAGCAGAAATATATCGTTTAGATACTCAATTTCGACGAGATTAAGTGATTAGTCCCTCTCTACGGACGACGGACAATCATCGCGTCATACTTGAATTGGGAGAGCATAACTCTGATGAATAGCGACAATCAGGTACGATTAAATTTGTCATTGTTGAATAATTTTATAGTATCTCTTCTTAGTATTATTATATTATATATATTTGTGCATATTTATGAGACGAGAGTTTGATTGGAGAACGAGGGATAATTCTTTACACTTAGATCTTTTTGAATGTTTCTCGTAATCACTTTCATCTTCCGCGTCATCATCGACCTTAGATATGACCCTAAATGATGAGGGAAATGTTAGGAGACGCCTGAGTGATTATGCTAGGCCTGTTCTTCAAAGACCCGTTACTCGTATTCATGCACCCTTAGCTAGAAATGCGAATTTTAGGATAGATTCGCATGTGATGAGTATGTTACCTATCTTCCATGGTAAACCTTCCGAGGATCCTTATAGACATGTCGACGAGCTTAGTCAAGTATGTGAGATTAATTAGATTCATAATGTGTCAGCAGATGTAATGAAGATGAAACTCTTTCCCGCCACCCTTAGAGATAGAGCTAAGGATTGGTTTCTTAAGTTAGGAAAAGAGTTCACTTCTTGGACCGAGATGGAGGAGGAATTTCTTAGGAAATACTATTCCGTAGGAAAGACCACCTCTGTTAGGAAGGCGATGCGAGAGTTTACCCAAGGACCGAGTGAGACATTTCACGAAGCTTGGGAGAGACTTAGAGACCTCACTAGAGAGTGCCCTCACCATGGAGTGTCTAACCATGAGCTTACACAGATATTTTATGATGGGTTAGGCCCGCAAGATAGATATCTTTTGGATGCAGCTAGCGGCGGCACCTTCATGAGCAAATTTGAAGATGAAGTAATGGAATTGATCGAGACTGTGGCGGAAAATAGCCACCATAACTCGGCAAAACCATTCGGAAGAGGTGCAACGCCAAAAGGAGGATTAATTGACGCAAAGACAGTAGAGACGGGCATGCTCCTAGAGAAGATCGACAAGATGGCGAGTTCATAATCTTTTATTAGATCGGTTCCACATCCGCAACGGATCTGAAGGACTTGCACCCGTCGCTCTACAAGAAGCGTCACCATGTGCCCATTGCTCACGCCTCGACCACGTCGAGATGGATTGTCCGATCATGGCAATTCAAAGGCAGGGCATGTACAGACAAGGCCCGCCAGGAGGGCAAATTCAACAGGGACGACCGAACTATCAAGGTACATATCCAAATTATTTTAATAACCTTGTTTGTAATCCTATACAGCAGCAGCAGCAAGGATTTAGGAGGAGTACGGATCAGACATATCCTCCATATAGCACCGGTCAGCAACAAAACTCACAACAGCAACCCTATGCGAATACAAGACAGTCGACGTATATTCCACCACAGCAGTCGTACAACCAAGCTCCATGACCGACTGCACCATCTGCAGATCCGATTCTGGGTGCACTCTCTCAATTGATGGAGCAAATGAGCAGGATAAACTCGCGTGTGGATGAGATACAGGATTTCGTCAAGACGAACATCTCTACCTCGACTGATAATAAGAAAGGTAAGCAAGTTTCGTTTTCTGACCAATTACTATCACAGGCCACTATCAACCCGAGGAATCAAGGGTCCTCATCAAGTCAAACGCACAATCTGAGTCATGTGCATGTTGACGAGGAGGAAGTGGAAGCTGCATTAGCGATATCGAGCCTTAGGAGCGGCAAGGATTTACCTGATCCTTACAAGGATCATCCTTTACATAAGAGCTTGATAGATGATGAGACACCGACAGTAGTAGTAGAGCCAGACAGTAGTTCAAATGATGAAGAAGAACAGGTGCAAGTTGAGCCAAATCCAGACACATACAAACCACCCGTGCTATATCCTCAAGCATTGAGTAAGCCTAAGGCTAAGGTTAGTGAATCTGATGATCATTTATTAGAAACCTTCCAAAAGGTTACCATTACCATCCCTTTAGTAGATGCAACTAGGCATATACCTTCTTATACTAAATTCCTTAAAGGCATATGCACACCCCATAGAAGCCCCAAGAGGATCCAATTGAGTGAGAATATTAGTTCCATTATGATGAATTCTCTTCCTATTAAAAAGAGAGATCCAGGAGCTCCCATGATTACGAGTGAGATTGGAGGAATGATTTTTACTAGATCATTATTAGATATTGGAGCTAGTATCAATATCCTCCCTAAAGCCGTATATGACTGTCATCATGTAGGGGAATTACAACCTTTCCTTATAGAGTTATGTTTAGCGGATGAATCGGTAAGGAAACCTCATGGCATAATAGAAGATGTGATTGTTAGAATAGAAGGATGTTATTTTCCGGTAGACTTCCTAGTTGTAGATATGAAGATAATTAAAGAGCTTAGTCAAGCCCCAATTATCCTAGGAAGACCTTTCTTAGCTACCACAAAAGCCATTACAGATTGGGGAAAAGGAGAAGTGATTCTTAAGGTGGGAGAGCATACGGTGAAGGTCAACATCAACAAGTTGATGAAGTATCCTTCACAAGCTTTCGAGGATTTGGGCGCCATCGACTTATTTGATGATCAAGACATAGAGACTTGCATCAAAGAAGTCATGACGGTCAATGAGGGAGCTGCTTTCAAGGAACTACCATTGGACGATCCGGCAAGAGAGCTCAATCCTCTTCCATCTACACTCAAGTACGCTTTCCTTGACTCTCAGCAGGTTAAACCAGTGATCATTTCTTCCCAGCTCAATGAGGAGCAGGAGAAACAATTACTCGACGTATTACGACGGAATGAGCAAGTAATCGGATGGACTCTAGCAGATTTAAAGGGATTAGACCCTTCATTATGTACTCATCGCATATTCTTAGAGGACGAGTCCAGACCCGTGAGGGAAGCCCAGCGCCGACTTAATCCTAAGGTATGGGAAGCCGTTAAGGAAGAGATTCTTAAGTGGCTTAATGTAGAGATTATCTATCCCATATCGGATAGCCAGTGGGTTAGTCCTGTGCACGTGGTTCCCAAGAAGGCAGGAGTTACAGTGACCGTGAACGACAAAAGAGAGGAGATTCAAACACGCCTCCCGACGAAGTGGCGAGTTTGTATCGACTATCGGAAGTTGAATGCAGCGACGAAGAAAGATCACTTCCCATTTTCGACGGAGAGGAGATTTCTAATTTTCTTGTCATACATATATTGTTACTCATTTTCATGCATTTTTCATCTACAATCACAATAAGTTGGGGGCAATCGCAATATAAGTTGACAAGGTTAGGTGAGATAAATACTTTGCATTTCTCTACATAAAATGCTGATTCTGATCCTTAAATAAATCACATTTTTAAAAAAAATTATATAGTACATCAGTTGCATAAAAAGGCAGTAGTCAATTGCAAATCTTGACCCACCTTTATTATCTTATGTTTTTACCTACAAAAGAAAGTGTAGGAATGGTCAGATTGAATGATAATAAGAGTATGCTTGTTAGAGGCTATGCAAGGAGCAAATATGTGAGGTTACTCCTATGGTACATAATATGTTTCATGGAATGAGTCATTATTATTTCAAGATTTAGTTATTATTATTTTCACAATTGGGAAGGACTTTACTAAAAACTTGAGGTAAGATTAGAACCTCATAAATTCAGTTGAATGAAGTGAGAAGAAAAGGCCACTACGTCCAAAAAAGAAAAATAAGGGGCAAGCTATCCAATGTACATTCCTCAAGGATATGAGTCTATAGATGCCATGTATAATAGTGTCAATAAAGGAGGAGGTGCAACCTTTAAATTTTATGACCAAAAACTAGAAATCTAAGGTAGAGGGCTCAAGTATACACGAAAAATAATAAGGCCCGTACTTCTACGCCGAAATGGAACCATCACATCTTAAAGTTGTTGACATCTCTTCTATCACCGTGTTTGGTAGTAATTGATAATGATTGTTAAATTTCACCTAAAAGTGGTCTTATTTTCATGGATGTCAAAACCTGCAGTCAAGTACAAACCCGTTGGCGACAGGCGTTGACTCGTGTACACTCGAATCTTCCCTTATCCCTCCTAGTGTTGACCTTTAGCCCCTAAACGCGACTCTCCTCCTCTCGATTTGGTGTGGTGGGCTAGTTTTGATTTGGTGGGGAATTAATTAGTACACATTTTCCTCGCCGCCGCTTTTTCTCTCAGAGAAAATTGCGTGCATGAGCGAGTCTCTCGTGCGAACCTAGAGAGAGAGAGAGAGTAGCAGTCATTATCACGCAGAAATATAAAAATATTTGGAGACGATGCAGGCGAAGATTGAGGAATTGAGTGGACAGATAGGTAACCGTCAGGATAAGAGACACGTCAGCTGTGAGATTAGATCCCCCCGAATCCACATGAAAAACGCCCACCCGTACTTCAGGAAACGACCGCCTTGTAGCTGCCGCCGCCTCTCTCTTTCTCCGTCTCCGGCGGTACCTCTTGACCAACTCCTCCGCCGCCGCCCTCGCCTCGGTGAACAGATTTCTCTCTCGCCCTCCTCTGTCTCTGTCTCTCTCTCTCTCTCTCTCTCTCTCTCCCTCTCTTTCTCTCTCTTTCTCTCTCTGTGGCCGGCATTTTTTACCTTTTGAAGTAGGAAAGTGGGTTTCCATTGGAAGCTCCGTCGACCACGAAACCCCATCACAATGTCTCCGCCTTTGCAGATCCAGCGGCGGAGCTCGTCGGTGGATCGCGCCGGAGACCTCTACGCTGGCGGCGGTGGCGGCGGTGGGAGCGGCGAAGATGAGTAACGGCGGCAAACTGATACCTCTCCTCCTCAAGACACCCGACGGCGCCGCCGTGGGGGACGCCAAGGAAGGTGGCAAAGGAGTAGGAGAACAACCCGAAACCGAGAATCACACTGGTCTTGCTCGCCGTCGCCCCCACGGAGGTAGCAATCCTCTCAACATGACCAGCCGCCGCGGCACCGCCGGCGACGGTGGTGACGCCACCAGGAGAAACGCACTGGCCGGGAGATTCTCCATGGAGGAGGTGGCGGGGATTGTCCATGGGCACCCCATCCCTTGCTTCTTCGCCCTCTGCGTTCTCTTCTTCATGATGGTGGAGTACACCCTCTTCATGGTCCCCTCCAACTCTCCCCCCTTCGACGTGGGCTTCATCCTCACCAAGCCCCTCCAGCGCTACCTCGCCGGCCGGCCCGCCCTCAACTCCGCCCTCGCCGCCCTCAACACGGTAACTCTCCGCCACCGCCGCCCTCCTCCGCCTCCACCTTCCCCGGCGGAGAAATCTGACTAGAACTCTGAGCGCGCTGTGCAGGTGTTCGTCGTCATGCAGGCGGCGTACATTCTCTCCACGCTGCTGATAGAGGGCCGGGGGAGATCAACGATCGCCGTCGTCTTCATGTTCACCTGCCGGGGAATCCTCGGCTACTCCACCCAGCTCCCCCTTCCCCAGGTAATAATAGTAATAATCTCAGCTGCTGGTCCTTCCTCCTCCTTCTTCCACCTGTTGATGGGGTCGTTGGGTGGTGGTGCCCTATTTCAAGCAGGAGTTTCTGGGCTCCGGCGTTGACTTCCCGGTGGGGAACGTCTCCTTCTTCCTCTTCTTCTCCGGCCACGTCGCGGGGTCGGTCATCGCCTCACTGGACATGAGAAGGACAGGCCGGCAGGCCATGGCGGCGGCGTTCGACGCCCTCAACCTTCTGCAAGTACTCCGGCTGCTGGCAACGAGGGGTCACTACAGCATCGACCTGGCTGCGGGGGTGGGCGCCGGCGTCCTCTTCGACGTGCTCGCCGGAAAATACGAGAAGAGCCACCGCCGCCGCTACCACCTCGCCGCCGCCGCCGAGGCGGCTTGACTTTGAGCGCACGTTCAACTCCACCGCTGTCGGCAATTGATTTACCTGGTGGTGGCCGCTGCAGGGCTGCCTCTGCATCACCAAGTATGCAACTTTCCGCAAATTCATTACTTTTCTTCGGGGTGGTTCAGATAATCGGCAGTTTTTTAATGTTTCTCTGTTCCCCTAATTACGCCGTTTCGGGTTTCGAAGAAAAAAAGAAATCAGGGATTTAAAACGACGGACAATTCGTCAACATTCTTGATGCGTTCACAATTCAATGCTTCTTTTTGCATAATAAAAAATAGTACCGTTGCTTCCATAATATTTACCCAAAATAAATAAAATTTACAGTATGTAGCATTATGATTTTTTAAATATGATTAATAGGCAACATAATTTTGATGATATTTTATGAATAAAAATAAATAGATCAGAGTTGTTTATCAACAGTATTAACATGGATGAGTGAGGATGCTGTAGATGGTGGGGAGTGTAAGAAAATTTGGCATTGATGTGGATTTTACTCTACAAAAACCATTAAAGTGGTCAACAACCCCTTGCAAATGTTGTCTACAACTTTTAGCCCCTGGAACCCACATAATGATGTTGTTCTAACCCCTCATCCAAGCCTTGCCCTCTCTACAGGAGAAGGTATGCCAGGGTATGGGTATCAATGGGGGGGAAGGAGGAGCTGTTTGTAGAGAGAGAGTATTCAAAGAGGAGGAGAGAGATGGAACTGAGGGATCAAAGAAAAGAGCTAGCAACTTGAGAGAATTGGAGGGGGCTGGAGGTGAGGAAGGGGATTGCTAAAGAGGAGAGATTCAGTTAAGGAACAAGGAGAGTTGAAGGGGCAACATGTGAAAATTGGGATAATTGTGAACTGCTATGTTTTTTTAATTAGGATTCACATTGGATGGAGACTTGCCAGATGGTGGAGGGTGCAGTCAGTAACTCACATGAATCATGGGATAGCTAGCAATTATGAGAAGATGGGGCAAACCATGGTACTGTGGGCCACAATATAGAGCAAGGGAGGGAAATAGTTGAGGGAGCAAATGGGGTAGTCAAGCATTGTTACCATGGCTTTTAGAATCAAGTAGTTTGAATGAAAGTATTACATACTACATATTCAGCTTTTCTCTTCCCAAAAATCTGTAAGTGAAGGGCTTTCTCCAATTATTATACGGCTTTGAGGATTGAAAGCCACAATAAAATAACTGTATGTGTTTATTGATGTTCAAGTGATTTAGGTGGATAGAAAAAATTAATAAATTAATTTCACCATAAAAAGGTGGAGGATAAGGTCTTAAGTTTAGCTCCTTCTAAAACATCTCACATTGGGGATTACTAAACACAACATTTTTCTTGCTAGTTATTTTTTCCATTAGTAAGTAGAAAATATCCATGAAAATTGAGAAAATTATGAAAGTACATTTCTTTCAATGCTAATTATCTACATCTAAATTTAAAAAAAGAAATTTTAAAGCTCAACCACATTTTTCACAGATCAAAAAAATATTAAATTTATTTATCTTGTGATATAAATGTGCAAAGTTGAAATTCAATAAAAGTGCAAAGATCATTAAGTTCATTAAAATTACGACAATAATAATTTTCTAAATCTAGCCATTGTATTATAGATCACACATGAAATGTCATTTCAATGCCCAAAAAAAGTAATTTTATGTGTTGAATTATATATTTTATGATCATTTCTAGAATAGAATTCAATTAAATCATTGAGGTTTAGAGATCCCTGAAAAATATGTCTAGATTCTTTAATGAAAATGAAGGTAGTGGGTACCTCATACATAATTTATTGGCTTTGAAGAGCTTCAAGCATTCTGATGATGACAAAGTTAAAACAGAAATAAGTGAATGGTAATTTTCTGTTATGTTAATTGTATGAATTGACATAATTTAAATCAGGTGAAATTCGTAATGGTAAATATTTATACTCGAACTTGAATAAAACGAACTTATATTTAAAATGATGTCACATAAATATAGGACACAACCATTAATTGGAAAGATAAATCAAAGCCAAACACAATCCAACAAAGAAAGCGCTAGAATTTGAATATTTTAGTTTTTTATAATAATAATGAGTTAAGAAATTCATTCAAAGATAAAAAATTGTTCATGTTTCTAACCCATATGACTAAAATGATTTTTATCTAAATATGGTGTCACAAATGTGAGCAACACTTGTTAAAAATATGGCTCAAAGAGGAATTCAACACAACAAACGGCACACAAAAGTTTGAATATTTAAAATTTTTATGAATTTAATAAAATTGACAAACACAATTTTTGTAAATTTTTAGGCACATATGGAATATTCAATTAGCCATTCAGATGATCGTTTGGCCCAATTAACTATGTACTAAAAGGTAAATTTTTCTCATATTAGGGTTTGAGTGAAAAGGAGAAGAGAAAAATCAAATTTAACATCTCCAACTACCCATTCTTATTCCTAGAAGTCAATTCAAAATTTTATTCATCTTTGAGCTTCTACAAAAGAGAAAAATCCATTGCTGCTCAATACTCTAAAGCCCTTTCCCCAAGCATACTCTTCTACAATGAGATAGTACATCCTTTGAGATGATGTGGTTAAATCATTTTAAATCACTAAGTTTATCGTTCTTGTGTTTATATATGTGAAGCCAATTGAAAGATGATTATAATGTGATTGAGAGACTAAAATGAGCTGACATGTCTACTATGGGAAGATTGACTTTGTGAGGATTTATCGTGGAAGTAAAGGGTTATAAATCTCATGAAATTAATTATATTCTCAACTATAGATAGTGTAACTAGGATGATGATATTGGAAATGAACAAAAGGGCCCAAATCATTATAAAATTTGGTGTCTTGGTTGTATTCCATTGATATTTGTCAATTGGAACTATAAAAGTACCTAAAAATAGAAGATACATAACTATGTACATAACTATTTGTCAATTGGAAGATACATGATTTTGGAGGGAACTTCTAATGCTAAATCAAAATAGGACTTTAACATTCATCATGTATTCCTCCCAAACATGGCCACTTTTATCATTTCATCTTTGATGCCACCATAAAATGTACACCCCAATTTATTTACGATGGGAAACTATGAACAAGTAATATTTAGCATACTTGTCATTATCAATTTATTACCTTCTGTCCTTTGTTTTCTAAAATTTTACTCATGATATCTTTATTTTTTTCTAAGATAATTCAACTATACTTCTCCATAAATCACTTATTCTCATAGGTCTCTAGAAATGATATATTTTATTGATATCTATTCCATCAATTAGCTTCTTGTAGAGATAGTTGAGTAGACTATGATTGAAGTGAAGAATTTTCTCAATTAACATAGAAGCCCGACTTAAATGGCATGTTAAAAGTTTCCTTTTCTAATATTCTTCCTCACATTTTTCTTCAAAAAATCCTATAATTTTTTAATGGCCCCCCTTTATTACAAACATAAAAAATGTGTTCATCTCCAATTTCAATAAATGAACAATATCAACTTTGAACAAGAGAAACACAATTATTCAGCTTATAATAGAAAAAAGTTGTGAACATTCTCCATATGTAACAAAAGCCTAGCAAGAAAGTGAGAGCACCAGATGAGTCTAGTTTGTCCAGATTAATGACCCAAGTGAAAAAGAGACCGACTTATCTACCACTCATGTAATTAATTGGGAGATCAAACAAAATAAGGGATGAATGAACAAGTTATCAGGATTTTTCTACTTGGGTTATGACCTAGGCCCATATCAGGAAAAAATCCAAAATGGGTTCAAGCTTTAGCCTATATTCGGCCACCCTGCTACCTGGAGGGGAGGTCAACAATGGCGGGGTGAGGTGTCATGGGCTGGCAGGCTGAATGGTTGAATGCAAGAGGGGAACAGGAAAACTGAGGGGAAGGACAATGAAGCAGGCCCCACGCAGCCCTCACTGTAAACGGTAAACAAAGAGGTCGCTGCTCTGGGGAGCAGTCGGCTATGGCAGGTAGGCTCCGCTCCACCCTGTGTGGACCCGCGTGGGGGTGTTTTTAAATGCTCTGCGACACTGGCGATCTGACGAGACCTCTCCCCTCAGAATAGATGACTCTGTTTTTTCATCCCAGAAGATGACAAAGGTCAGCCCTTCCGATCTCCCTCGCTCTCTGGTTCGCTGCCCTGTGGCTGCTGGGCCTGGTGAACAGGAGCCAGTGCAACCATTTTCCTCACGAGGAGAGGAGAGTCTTGTCTGCATGTATGCGAAAGGCAAATCTCCTCTTTTCAGACTTGGCTATGGAAAAGAGCTAGGGGGATCATGGGGGGAGGGGAGGGTGGGGATGGGGCTCCTGCAATTGATGATGGGGAGGAGGCCCCTGCTGCTTTCCCCCACCCCCTTCCCCACTTCAATAATGGTAATCTCTGTACTGGTTCAATCAGGCGCCGCTGTCTCTATCCCTTGTCCTCTTCCTGTTGGTAAAAATACCCCCAGATTTACAGTCAAGCAACACTATCTTCTTTCTCAATCTCGCCTCTCTTTCTCTCGAGCCCTTCTCGGCCTGCACACCCAAGTCTCAAACAGGGCCGTCATCCGGGAAATGCCACAGAATTCCATATTGTTTAGGTTGATTCTTCCCACTGGGTCAGTTCCCATATTGTTTTCGATGGCCCTATTAACAACCTCCCAAGAACAATGAGAGGATGCGGACGATGTAGGGATGTTGCCAGCCTCCCTCACAGTGAGCTCTCTCCAAATAAAATATACTATCTTTTTCTGTTTCACTTCACCTATATACGCTTGAATTGGATTCTTCCTGGGACTTTAATGCATTATTTTTCTTGTGGGTATGTGTGGTTGTAGTCTTGTTTCCCACCTCTAGACAACGGGAATGGTCATTCGTCCTGCACTTGAGATCCCGAGGCCAGTCAAACAGGACGTCAAGGATCTCCAAGGTGGTGCTGTTTCTCCTCTACCCTTGTTTAACTCTTAGAAGAAAGGACCCAGGAGGGAACTTTCCCATGCATCTCCGGCCCTTCCTGTTTCTCTGTGGGTTTTGAGACCGATGAAAGTTGGGTTATCTGAACAGTGTTGAGATATCATGATTCCAGGGCCAATTGGGCATCAATTGTTCTGATTAGATCGTCCTTTCAGACAGTTGCATTTCAGAGGAGAGCAACATCCAAATCCGCAAGTTTATGTGCACCACAGGTTGATGAAAGCTCTATTACTGCCAAATTATGGGCCATCAATAGGAAGCTGATTTGATCTGTTTAAGTTCATATTTTGGTGCTTCTGAGCTCATTCACAGTCTTCTCTTTTTTCCTTCTCTTCCCTGTTCCAGATTCGATGTTTACCTTCTATTGGTTGGGAAGCAGAGACTATTCCAGATGTCTACAAGTCTTGTAGCAATACTTGGAGGCTCAGCAGGTCTTGTATTGTTGGCCGTAGCCATTGGGTTGGTGTGGCTATATCTACTGCGCCATGAGAATGCCTCAAACAAGAACTCTGATACTGGGTCCTCAGATCCGCCCCCACCAGGTATGGGAAAAAAAATTGAGTTAAGCCTGAGGTTACAACTGATGACAATGATGATGATGATGCTTCTTTTTCATCCAAATCGGCAGCTGAATGGAATAGGGTGGGTCGAGCTTCCTCTACAGGCTGTGAAGCTCTGACTGATCCCCAGGGAGCCAGGCGTTTTTCCCTGGAAGAGCTGGAGAAGGCAACGAAGAGCTTTAGCAAAGCCAACCTTGTTGGTGAGGGAAGCTTTGGATCTGTGTACAAGGGCTTGCTTGCTGATGGCATCATTGTGGCCATCAAAAAACGTTCGAGAGTTTCAAGGAAGGAATGTGAATTTGTTGAAGAGGTAAGTCAAGTGTACCTGTTTATCATGATGAGAAGTAGATAGTCTCCCCACCTTAGTCACTTGGCTCAAAGAGGGCCTTTTGTAGACCCTATTAAATTCAAAGCCTTTCTGAGTTCTCACAACTACCCTGTAAAGCAATCCGGCCATGCAGCTGGATGGAAATCTTTATCAAGTATGTGGAATCTTCATCCGATCTAGACGATCCCATGTTCTTGGGATGAGGCTTCTCATCGGCCATGAAGCAGCCTCCAGAAGCTAACTAGGTCAAAACAAGAATGCTAGTGGCACCATGCATTCACATCTTACTGGGAAATGTTGACACTCTACTGTCTTGCTGTTATTGATTTAATGATAATAATGCGGATTTTCAGAATATTTAGCCAGAAAAGGAATATGGGTACTGAGATACATTTGCTATTTAGTTGATAAGTCATGAGGCTTCAAGCATATGCAGTCACCTTCTGATGCTGACTCTTTGCACTACTATTTTCCTTCTTGAGGTAAAATGATTGCCCATGAAAACTGAGCATAGGGCAGTGATGTAGAAAATTTAGCTTTTGGATGTTCTTCTTTATTGACTCTTGTGACATGGAGGGATTCAACCCATTTAGCATCTTATTTATGATGCATTGTTATAGAGTGATTGACAAAACTAAGCGATCACCATCTGCTCCGAATGGAAGATATCCCTTTATGTCATCTTCAGTTTTTTATGAAAGCTTGATAATTTCCCACGACATTCTCTTGCAGTCAGATAATCCAAATTATTTTCTTACCCTTTATCAGTTACTGGCATTCTTGTGTCTTACACATTAAACTTGATGAATGCTTTCTATGGTTAAACCAGATTCAACACTTGTCAGAGATCTGGCATCGCAATCTTGTCACCCTAATTGGGCATTGCTTTGAGAGAGGCCTCCAATTGCTTGTTTATGAGTACGTGCCCAATGGAAGTGTCACCAATCACTTGTATGGTAAGTGTCACCTCATTCCACTTTTGCCAACTCTATTACTTACTGCTGAGCTGTTTTTACTATCAAATGGTTTGTCACTGGGTGCCCTTGCAGAAAACAAACTGTGAAGTAATCAAAAATAGGCTAAACGTTGGCAGGATTTAAATGGGAGTATGAGCATCTTCATACTGTCATAAATTTGGTATAGATAGTTTTTATGGCATATTTTCATGTTTGAAAGGGATCAGCGGTTAGTGTTCCCAGAAGCGGTGCTTCGGGTAAGTTTGGAATAGTCAGAGTTTCCACATTAATAATATTTCTCTTTGACAGATAATGGGTATTATGATAACAGATGTGGTAAAAATTGATATTTCTTAAATGCCAAGAATGAGCTTCTTCACGCTATTGTAAAATAGTTACAAATAGTTTTTATTGCATACTTTTATGTTTGAATGGAAACAGTGGTTACACTCCCAAAATTTCATTCTTCTGGGTAATTTTGGATAATAAAGTCCTGTTTCACAGATCACGGGCATGAACAGAAGGCACAGCTAGAATTCAAGCAGAGGCTTTCAATAGCTCTGGGTGCTGCTAAAGGTGATGATATATAAAGCCCATTTATTTCCTTTTGGCGGTGGCATGTTTAGAGATTTAAACATTGGTGTGCTCACAGATATATGCATCTCTTTCAAATTCTATATAGCAGACAAATGCTTAAGATAATTGATGATTGCAGGCTTGTGCCACTTGCATGGCCTTGTACCTCCCTTGGTACACAAGAATTTCAAAACAAGTAATGTTCTAGTTGATGAAAACTTTATCGCTAAGGTAGCCGATGCTGGGATTATTGATTTACTTCGAGAAACTGGATGCGGAAGTCCTCAAATACTAGGGAGCAATGTCTTCCAAGATCCAGAGTATGCATGTTTCTATATTGTTTTCTTTTTCTGGATATTACTACCTTCTTCAATTCTTAGGTTGATCCATTATTTCTTTATAAAGTGGTTTATTTTCTCGATATGTATACCGGGTGACTGGTGTCCTGTTTCCCAGAAAATCTTTCGCTGTCCTGGAGTTGGAATGTGGAAAGAAAGAGAGAGAGAAGAGAGAGAGAGAGAGAGAGAGAGAGAGAGAGAGAGAGAGAGATCCATCGTCTTAATTTGGAATGAGTGGTTTATTGCTTATTCAGAGTTCCACAACCTTAGTTGCCTTAAAAAGTCTTTTAGTGGTCGCAATTAAAAGACTAGTACAAGACTTCTTTCTAAAAATGAATAATGCCTACATCTCAGCAGATCCCCAAATCCTGATATCACGTCAAATTCTCTTTGAGGCATCATTTTTTCATGCAAATACATCTACTCCAAAACGGGCCTTTTTGCTCCCTCGTTCAAGTTCTGTTATCTTATGCTTTTCTGTTAGATTGATCATTTCCACAAAAATACATCTCTGTAGGTATATGTAGACTGTCTTAAGCTCATCCCCATTCCCCCCCCCCCCCACCCCGCCCACCCACACACCATTTCTTTATTATTAGGTGTTAATTTTGATTTCTTTGGTGTGGTTTGTTCTTTGTTCCCAATTTTGATACTCTTGACCGATAAGTATGACCAGCTTCCACCTTTGTAGGGTTGGAGATTCAGCCCAGCTCTCTGAAATGGACGACGTGTACAGCTTTGGAGTATTTATTTTGGAACTTATAATGGGTCGGGAAATCTCTTCCCTGAGCTTTCTTGAATCCAATGAAGGGTTGACGAAATGGGTAACGCTAGCATGCTACAACCCTCAGTTTTTAATAAAATATTTATATTAGCACAAGTTTCTGCGAAACAACCATGGTTTTTATCTATTGAACTAATGATAGAAGGTCAGTTTACAAACTATGACCCTCAGTTCTTTGTAAATATCTTATATTGATGAAAGTTACCACAAATAACCATGATTTTTGTGGATCATACTAATTATAGAAAACTAGATTTAAACTATCATCTTCAGTTCTTGATAAATGTCTTTATTAATGCTAGTTTCCAAGAAATACATTTACATGTTTTTTGCATATTGAATAAATGAAAAAAGCTCAGGTTTAAACTACTTGACGTTTACAACTGGTTTATATTCTATCGTCTTCAGTATTTGGTAAAATACCACATAAATGCAAGCTTCCACGAAAGCACCATGCTCTTAATTGATTGAACTAATGATAGAAACTCAGTTTCAAAGTATATTAATTTTTACATCATTCGATCACCCATGGTCAAAAATCTTCAAACTTGAGGCTCTGATCCCTCATTGCTTCCACAGATGATATCTATATAATTCCTTCACAATGGTGTCTTTGTTCTGAAAAAGGATGGATTGAAGCTGAACTCAAGTGAGCTCATCGACCGGCGGCTGGGCAACAGCTTCACCTCCGAGGGAATGAAATGGTTGATTGAGCTCGCTCTTCGGTGCCTCGATTCACCCGGGGTGAGGCGGCCCAAGATGGATGCTGTGGTGTCAGAGCTTGAAAGGATCCTTGAAACAGAGATGACGTTGACCATGGTCATGGGCGATGGTACAACCACTGTGACTCTCGGCAGCCAACTGTTCACCTCTTCGTAAGTAACAGGAGGACCCGCCTTTAGGCTTTTCAGGGATGGCTCTTGTCCTAAGGACCAGATTTCTAATTCAAGCTGCCCAGCTTCTAATTCAGGCTTTTCAGCCAACAGTAAATTTCTCAAGATGCCGAGCTTCTGAATCATTCTTTAAGGGTCTTGCAATGACAACTGATGTAATTTTATTCTATGAACATTATTCTAGAATTTAGTTCAAGGGGAGGGCCGCGACATTGCTTTTATGGGGAATATGTGCCTGCAAATCTACACCAATGGTGATTCCTTTGATTGTGGTGTGATTTGGAACATGAGGAGTTCGACATCATGCAGTTGCTCAAGAGGGTCAACGGGTTAAGTTAGTCCAGGAAAAGAAGCATGGCCTGTCCCAGCCTTCTTTTTTTTTTTTTTCCGTTTTCCTGTTTTCGGTCATAAATTCAAGATGAGAGAGATTAGTGGGTTTAAACAAGTACTTACCAAAGCCTTGGTTGGGTTAGGATTTCATGGGGCTCGGGTAGTTTGATTTAATATGCTAAATATGTTCATTGCTTTGTTTTAGTCCCACATTGAGGAAATCAGTTGACCTCTCTTCATAGATGGATCTAGAAATTGCTCCACATTCCTCAACATTATAGGCGATGAGATACCTTCCTAGAGAGGGAGAACAGGCTGACCCCCTGTATGAAGTCATTATGTGGTTAGGATGAAGAGGATGATGATGATATAGGGTGAGCTGTGAGAAAGATAGAAAGAGAGAGAGAGAGAGAGAGAGAGAGAGAGAGCATGGGTTTCTCGCTCTAATGGGATTCTCTTCTACAATGAAGAAATATTTTTGTATTTATATCATCAAATGGTTCTGGAAATTGCCCCACATTCCTCAACATTATAAGAGATGAGATACCTTCCTAGAGAGGGAGAACAGGCAGACCCCCTGTATGAATTTATTATGTGGTTAGAATGAAGATCATGATGATGATGTATGGTGAGCTGTGAGAAAGAGAGAGAGAGAGAATGGGTTTTCACTCTAATGAGATTCTCTTCTACAGTGGAGAATTTTTTTATACTTACATCTTCAAATGGTTCTAGAGGGCTTTATGCGTTGCCAGGCTTGAGCTAAAAGGCTGCCTAGTGCAGCTATTAAAAGGGCAAGAAGACAGGGATAGAAGCATTCTCCCATTTATTGCCATAATCTTTTCCACCTTTCCATGGGCTCTTTGCTGCCCCATGTACAGCTTGTTGTGTAGAACCCTACACACAAACAATCATGACCCACATGAGTGTTTGGACATCCCTAGATGATCGACAAAATTTACTTCTTTTAGTAGTCAATTATTAAAAAAAACAGAAGCCCATGATTTCAGAGGATGGAACTCTTCTTATAAATATGAATAATATGAGGAATTAAGTTGGTGATTAAATGAATTTTAATGTGCGATTTAATCGGTTTTATTCATTTATGATATTGGTATATGAGCATAATTCTTTCTCTAAATAATTCTTCTCAAAACCTATTTTGATCCCTGAATAAGTGAGGTCTTTAAAGATCTGTGCAGCAGTGGTATGAGTTGGCCAGATGTCCTCGTTTTTCTCCTACCACAACCTTTTGGAAGAAATTATCTTTCTTTTATTCTTGGTAATTAGAAAGTAGCGAGAAGAGAGGTGAAAGTGGATGCAATAGGAAAGTCAACGTTGCTCCAATGACAGTACCAGTCGAACATCGGCTTTAAATGGCGTGACTGACGGCGCACAGGAGATTTTTTTCTGTGAAAAATCGCCCATCCCGGCACGTGGCCTCTCGTTAATTCCGTTACAGTCCCGGCGGCGGATCGCCGTCTGCCTCCGTCGCAGCGGCGCCCACGTGGTGGAAAACCCCGTTGGCGCCGTCACGTTGTTGGGCGGCGCTTACCCACGTCGCTGCCACATGGCGCGCTGCATCTCGACTCTCCTCCCTTCCTCTTGCTTCATCTCCCCGTAGAAGAAGAAGAGCAGAAAGCTCTGAGCTTTTTGATGCTAAATGTTCTCCGCCGCCGTCCTCTTTCCTGCTCCGGCCCCTCTCCTGCGTTTCCTCTCTCTTGCAGGGGCTGCACGTCTGCGGCCGCCGCAACCCTTCCCGCCGCCGAGCTCCGCCACTCGCCGGGCCGCCACCGCAGACAGCGGGTGCCGGGTTCTCGCCATGGCCTCCTCCTCCTCCTCCGCCGCCGGGACGCCGCCGCCCCACAGGCACATCAACCGCCTCGCCTCTGAGCATAGCCCGTACCTGCTCCAGCACGCTCACAATCCGGTGCATTAGTCATCCCCTGTTCTTGTTTCCGGTTGACCGTGCCTGCACACATAGTGGGGCCGTCTCGTTTTGACAGAATGGATTGCTCGGACAAATGGTGCTCTCATGTTTTTTCGGTCCTCTTGGGGAGGTCTTATCTTCGAACGGAACTGGTTGACAGCAGCTTTTCCAAGTTGTTGAAGTTATTCCTGGGCAATACCTGGGTCTATGAAATCATTCTTAACCCTGTTGTTGCTTAAGAGGTTGCACGCTTCCTTTAGCAATCCTCGATAAATTCCTTTAATAAATTCACTGCGTTGCCTTCACCTGGCATCTGGCCACCGAGTGCATAGTTATTTTTTTCAGCAGTCAACCAATATTTAAATTATCTCTGAGGATTGATCTCCTTGTCAGTATGGAGATTAATGTCCTGCATTTTCGCTGAAGGTTGATTGGTACCCATGGGGGGAAGAAGCTTTCAAGAGAGCTCGTGAAAGAGATGTTCCCATCTTTCTATCAAGTGAGTATCCTTCTTTTTCATCATTTTATCAAATCATAGATTCATGTGCTGGTGAGAATAATCTCTTTTTGCTCTTATATTTCTACTGAAATGCATTTTATTTTCCCCTCTTCTGCTTATTTGTTTTAACTTCACGCTCTCCATTGGAAGTTGGCTACAGCACGTGTCATTGGTCAGTATATTATCCTATCCAGTTTCCACTCATGTTCAAATTTATTGTTCATCTCGTCATCATTTAAATAAGAGAATTGACTTTTACCGCTGGCCGTATTTTATGTTCAAATTCATATCTATTGAGCTTATGAAGGGTAAAGAGCAAAATGACAAGGAAAATGTAGAGAGGTTCTTAAAATTCTGCATAGAGAATTAAAAATAATGAAAATTACCGCTGAGAGTTCTTATTTCGATCATATATGATCTAGTGAAGGATAAATGATAAAATGTTCAGAAAAAAATTATAATTTTTTTGTCTTCGTAAACTGCTCAAAACTGTGTTGATAATTAAAAAGTGCCTGTGAGAATTTTTATTACATTCTTATTTCATGAGGTTATGAAATGGTAAAACGATAATAAGCATGCATACTTTAATGAACACGCAAAACAATTTTTCAGGATCTTGCATGTTAAATATAACCCATTATACTAAGATTTTTTATTTCATTCATATGTCATGAAATCACCGAGGTTAAGCAGTATAATTAAAAGAAGCATGCATGCTTCAGAGAACACGTACGGAAATTTAGAATCTTGCATATATTATGAAATATTTTCTCGTAATATTTTCACTCCTTACAGAAAACATAGCCTGCCGTAAAATATTTATGAATATGCAGGATGAGGACCTTTTTTTTCTTCTGATATGTTAGTTACTGGTCACTTCCAGTTGAAGACATAAGATCATTCTGTTTGCTCACTTATTTATCTCGTAGGTGTCATGTGATGGAGGTGGAATCGTTTGAAAATGAAGAAGTTGCCAAACTTCTGAATGATGGGTTTGTTAGTATCAAGGTGAGGTGCTTATATTCTAGAAACAAATGATATCCCTAAAGTAGCTGGAAGAGTTATTACCGTGGTCACACTTCTCATTTATGTCCACACTGAGTTGATGCAATCTTCATTTCTGTCATAGAATGATGGATATAATTTATGACTTATGCAATTATTAGCTTCTAACCTTCTTTTAACGTGACAGGTGGATCGTGAGGAACGACCTGATGTTGACAAGGTGATTGCTGCGTCTCAATGTATTTTTAATTTGAACTGAATATATGACATTGATCAAGCACCAATAATAAGACTGTCTCATGTCCTACTCTCTTGCATCAGGCCCCTACCAACCTTTTTATCTAGTGGAATTTTATAATGAAAATGAATGCAACTATTAGTGGAATTTTATAATGTATAGCATAATAAATGAATGAAAAAAAATAGAAATCCTTCGTTCAATAACTCTCTTTTCCTGTAGGTATACATGACATATGTACAAGCGATGTATGGTGGAGGAGGTTGGCCCTTGAGTGTTTTCCTTTCTCCTAATCTAAAGCCTTTTATGGGCGGAACCTATTTCCCACCTGATGACAAGTATGGGCGACCTGGTTTCATGACAGTTCTCAGGCAGGTGACTCATTAAAACTTGATCCAATTATGACATTTACCATACTGTTTCATTTTGTCAAAATTTCTCCCCATTTCCTTTTCAGAAAGGTAAGGGATGCATGGGAAACTAAGAAGGACATGCTTGAGGATGGAGGATCCCGTGCAATTGAACAGATTTCTGAGGCATTGTCAACCGCAGCTGCCTCTCGTCGATTATCTGAAGAGACTTTGCACAGTTCATTACGAAATTGTTATGAGGAGGCAAGTTTTAGCGACAGAGTTGTAATCAAATTTTGTATTTATTTTACTTATCTGGTGCTACTAGTTGCATTGTATGTTGATTTCGGCTAATGACATGGAATCGGTTGTGCTGCTCATCAGGTCTTTCATGAAAAAGCTGTCATTTATCCTGTATAAATCTGAGAAAATACTATAGAGATATGGAAAGCCTTTTGTATCTTACTAAGTGGATGTGCATGACAAGTTATCTAACTATTTTTTCTTCTTTTTTTTTTAAATCTACTTCTTTAGTGCAATTGAAAATGTTGTTTACGATGTTATCTTTAATTAGGGATGATGGAAGATTTGATTTTTCATTTGTAGAGGTGTTGTAGGAGGAATTTTTTATATGAATATCCCTCACCTTCTTTTGTCTGTTGAGGGGAACAAATATTGGGATTCCTTGTCAGGCATATATAAATACATGTTCACACTTATCGATATCTTTTTGTATGTGCGTATGTATATCTGCTATCTATATTTGCATGTATATCATATAGTCACAAAATTTTAACTGTTTTGCTATTTCATGAGCCTATTTTGCCATGTTATTTGATTTAATCATTTTCTATGCAACTGACTCCAAGTTATGGCGATTGCAATAATCTTTAGCTCGCAGACAGCTACGACCCAGAGTTTGGTGGATTTGGATCAGCCCCAAAGTTTCCTAGGCCTGTTGAAATACATCTAATGCTTTATTGGGCAAGGAAGCTTGAGGATATAGGGAAGGAGAGTGAAGCTAGCAAGCCAGAGAATATGGCTTCCTATACCTTAAGATGCATGGCAAGGGGTGGTATCCATGATCACGTTGGCGGCGGATTTCACAGATATAGTGTTGATGAATGCTGGCATGGTGAGTCTCTATAGCCACCACCAAAAAAAAGTTATTGACAGAGACTTCTGTAGGTTTTACTTAATTTTTAAAAATTTCTGGTCTAATCAGAATTGTCTTTGGGAAAAAAATTCTTGTATAATCTGAATAATATTGTTATTCAAGACTGTAGTTTATGAAGAAAAAGGTCAAGAAACGTATTACCATCAAATTAAGGAATTTTACGTTGTCATTTCCTGATTCCACAAGTTTATTTTCTACTCGATGAGCCCAAATTTTAAAATATGATTTGGGTAAAAGTAGAAACACGGATATGCAATGTTCTTATGATTTTTGTGAATTATATTCGCTTGTTTGGACTAACTTTCTCTTACATCTACCGATGGCACGTGTGAATTTTTAGCTACTCCAGTTACCACCGACAATGTGAATTCAATTGTAATTCGTTAACAGTTCTAAAAATGATATGCTGTTGTGTTCATATATTGCCCCTGATAATTCCCCCTCGACAAAAAAAGGAAAAATAAAATGAAAAAGAAAGGAACAAAGTGAGTAGCAGATGCCCCCTCATAAGGAGTGTATAACTCACCAAGAAATACACGAGAAACCTTGCTACACCCTCACATCTGTTTTCTTCTTTCCTCCGAATTGTCCAAGATATTCCATGAATCATCCATCACTCTAGACTAAGCTGATACCAATTATGCATGTTGGAAGTGTGTGCTTCCTATGTGGTAGTTCATATCCTCAAGGGGAATGTAAGCAAAACACGTGGCATCTAATAGACCTAAATTTTATCCAAAGCCTCATAGGAATTGATGCAATGGGAAGTGGAACGGTACAGATGTTTAGAAACTCCATGCATTGAATATTCAGTTGAAAAATTAAGTACATTATCTACGTCATGGACTAGTTCTGAACACAAACTTTTAACTGGTAATATGGATTTTACATGACATGTTTCACTTGTAAGTCATCTGTGATCAGATGCCAAGTATTATCAGCAGTTGTGTTGATAACATCAATAACACTATGTTCATGAGAAAGCGAATTCAGAAGTATGAAAAACTGTGCTTACTTGGTGCGCCTTATTGTAGTCACCTATTGATTAAATGACGCTCATGCTATAATTTTAATTTCATTAATGTTTTGCAGTTCCGCATTTTGAGAAGATGCTCTATGATCAAGCCCAACTTGCTAATGTTTATTTGGATGCATTCGCGATTACAAAGGACACCTTTTATTCTTCCATGGCCCAGGATATTCTTGATTATGTCAGAAGAGATATGACCGGACCAGATGGTGAAATTTATTCAGCTGAAGATGCAGACAGTGCTGAATACGAAGGTGCCACAAGAAAAAGAGAAGGAGCATTCTATGTTTGGACGAGTGAGGAGGTTTGTCCAGAAGAGAAAACGTCCTAAAAACTTTCCGGTTTTTTTTTTAATATCAATAATATTATGAGGAAGAGTATAAAATCTCTCGCTTAAAATAATCCATTATTTCATCTATCTTTCAAGTGTCATATTTTCATTCAAATACACCATACAGAAGTACAGAGAGAGATAAATAAAGTCCATTGTGTACCTAGTTGGTCAGTATGATTTGTATTCATATGTGCATTGTTTTTCATATTTGATGTGCAGCGTTCGTCATTGTTCACCTTGAGTGTCTATACCATGCGTATATTTCCAGATCTCAATGGACACATATTTGAGGCTATTTGCCCAGCTCATCTCCAGAACCATAGCTCACGGAATTATTTGTCCGAGATTCTTCTTTAAGGGAGAATTTCAAAACCCTTCTCAGGCTATAGAAAGAAAATAGGAAATCAAATGGATGTAATTCTGGTGATCTCGTCCAGACTGGCTGTTTCCAGGTCAGGTCTCAACCAGAGAAAGTGATCAATAGGTTGAAGGCATTATTCCATTTATTGGGATTACTACAGCATGATAGCTCTTGGGATCATTTATGGTTTATTATTCATCTACACTTGGTAAAAGAAAAAGTGATTGTCCTGGGCAAGGATGACAGATTTAGGATTAGATTGCCAGATAAGGGGGATTAAATCCCAATATATGTTCATATTTTATAGATACTGGAAATGATTGAAGAATCTTCCTTTAAAAAACTTGCACTAGAAAGATTATCTTTGCTCATAATCAGCCCACAAGTCATAAAACGAAAACAGAGGCTTCAAAAATATTTTCGAACCTACTGAAGCGACCAAACCAGACATTTCTTACGTCGATTGCTTAGCTGGAATAAGTCTTCATGGGTCCGAAAATTCTTTCTTTTTTCGGGGACTCTGGTTCAAATATGGAATATCTGATGAGCCTTCAGTACATACACTATAAGGGATTGTTTTAATGAAGACACCTAAGGGATGGACATTTGGTTGAAAGTCATTGAAGGATTTAATTTTTTTTAATCTCTCTTATCATCGATACCCATTTCATTCCTTTAGAAAGACAAGTTTAATTACTAGATATTTTCTGACAAAGTTACTTCTTTTTTTTTTTCGTCTTTTGTGGATATTCGGCTCCATGTTTCTTAATATTGTTTTTCCTGTATGTTTCTTAGACTCTGCCCAAAAGGTTATGAAAGGACTTATGTATGGCCCCATTGTTCAAGTAAAGGTGGGATTGTTGCTTGCTTGGCAAACACATTCGAATGTAGCTGCGATGAAAATGGGAATTTATAATGACCAAAGAAGAAGAAAACTGGTTTTCGAAATTTTTCTTAATGGTGTTCTTGTCAAACGAGCATTGAATATGGATGGTAGATATAACATGTAAAGTATATACCACTAATTGTGGATCGTCCTGCTTTCCTTAAGGTTGACAAGACTGTTGGAGATGTGTCAGATCTTTTCAATGACCATTATTATGTCAAAGATTCAGGAAATTGTGATCTCTCCAGAAAGAGTGATCCTCACAATGAATTCAAAGGAAAAAATGTTCTGATAGAGAGAGAGGATATATCTTCGAGAGCGTCAAAAATGGGCATGTCTGTGGATGAGTATGCAGCTATTCTTGGGACATCTAGGAAAAAACTTTTTGATGCACGTTTAACAAGACCGAAGCCACATTTAGATGACAAGGTATCCATTTACTACGTTCAATAAATTCTGAAACTCTGTACCCTTTTCTTAATTTTCAAGCTTTTTATGATTCTTTAGGTTATTGTTTCATGGAATGGACTGGCAATATCATCTTTTGCAAGAGCTTCAAAAATTATAAATAATGAGGCTATAGAAGCTAAATTTTACTTCCCCGTCGTTGGCTGCAATGTAAGTCATGTACTTTCTATGTTAAAGATATTCTTTCATTTCTAGTCATCTATATGATTGGTGGTCTGTTGAGTCAAATTCTAAATGACATGAACTTAAGTGGAACATTAATTTCAAGGTGCACATAAATTCAACCAAATGTAATTTGAAATGTTTGAGTTAATTTATTGATCTGCGAATATTTAAGCCATTTAATTACAAATAATGAACTTGGATAGAGTTTAGTGATTCTTTCATCGGCTGGTTCATGTCAAAGCCAAGTCATGGGATAATCCTCAGCCCTAAGTCATAAATACACGTTGCATGAAAATTCTGTTAATTTATTCCCCTGTTCGTTGGCTTATAAAGATTAATTATCCATCTATTTCGAAAAATCAACACAAGCATATTCCGACCATGGATCGGGTATTTTAGAAGTTCTTCCTCCATGTTGTGTAATAAGAACTTAACTTAGTCCTATTCCTTCCAAGAACCCTCTTCTCACTGGCTACTTTTTCCTTAAACTAGTGAAATTTGTTTCGAATCAGCCAACATGTGACAGATTCTCATACATTTTTCAAATTTGGGGCAGTTTAGACATTCTTTGCTCCAACATATGAATTTCTATGTTGTAGAGAGTTCTTGGAGGAAATAAAACTTAGTAGTCTTAAGAAGTCTTATTAAGGTGATCTCAAGATGCTTGTGCAGCGAATTTCAGTACCAAGTTTTCAGATGACTCCTGAATATAACCTTGGTTTAAATGCTCTATCCATTGAGTGTTAAGCTTGTCTATCAGAAATGTCTCAAATGAATCATTGAATCATGCTTGGATCTTCTAGTCCATTGTAGTTATGTCATTATTAACTTCGTCCTCCTGAGGAGTTGCACTATACGCATAACTCTTTCTTTTTTTTTTCCCAGTAAGTCGTCATCCTTAGCCCTTTTCTACAGTGTTTTTCCTGTAAACTTAGCAAGAAAATATGGGGAGGTTCAAAACTTGCGAGCTCTGAAGGGTCTGAGCTCCAATCATCATAGTCTTTGTGAAGTGAAGTCCGGTTCTCATCAAGAACTTTGCCCATGCTGGATCTTGACTGCTATAACACTTAACATATTTTGCAAAGGTTCAGCACCCATAGCTACACATCCGCCATACCCTTGGCTCAAGTGCAGAGTCATTTGAATCGACATAAAATTGAAGCTTTCCTTTGACTAGATTAATTTTATCAGAAATAATGTAAGAGGTTGAAGAATGAGCTCATATTGGTCAGCCTGCGTGGAAATTGGTCTTCTGGGTTTGTGTTCCAGAAACAATCACCATTAACTAAAAATAGACCTTCCCTCCAGGGTTTAGGTTTGTTTCATGCTATTTATACTGAGAATCACTAACCAAGAAAACTACATTTGAAAGTCAAACTTTCCAATATTCCTGCAATCTACCATGTGGACTCCATCTGAGAACTTGATTGACTTCTGGGTCTTCATTCTGTGCATGTTGTGCTTCTTCTGTTCACAGCCAAGCGAGTACCTGGAAGTTGCAGAGAAGGCATCAGCTTTCATCAGGACTCATCTCTACGACGAGCACTCTCACAGACTGACTCACAGCTTCCGAAATGGCCCATCAAAAGCTCCAGGCTTTCTGGACGATTATGCCTTTCTGATAGCAGGGTTGCTGGATCTATACGAATTTGGTGGCGCAATCAAGTGGCTTAAGTGGGCTGTTGATCTGCAGGCTACTCAGGCATGCAGATGGGCACATTTCTCTCCGCATCAAGATCATTCTGTACCAGTCTTTTTCGCCTCTGTGAGTCTCACTGTTCTTGATATCCCATGGTTTTCCAGGACGAGCTGTTCCTCGACGCAATAGGGGGAGGATACTTCAACACTCCGGGAGAAGACCCTTCTGTCCTTCTACGAGTTAAAGAAGATTACGATGGTTCAGAGCCTTCCGGAAACTCTGTATCAGCGATAAATCTCATAAGACTGTCCTCCATGTTCTCGAATGGCAGATCTGATGATTACCATAAAAAAGCAGAGCACCTCATGGTTTGTTCGACCTTGCAAAGCCATATAATGTCACTGATTTTATTGTCACACCCATCAATGCTTGGATTCATGATTCCTACTCCATAATCTGTATCCTTTTTTTCTTCTTTTTTTTCTTGCAGGCGGTGTTTGAATCTAGACTGAGAGAGCAGAGTGTAGCAGTCCCACTGATGTGCTGCGCTGCAGACATGCTGGCTGTTTCGTCCAGGAAACAGGTGGTGATAGTTGGCAACAAGGCTTCCCCAGAATTCAATGGCATGGTCTCCACTGTTTACTCGTCATATGATCCTAACAGGAGGGTGAGCAGTACTCTTCTAATTGAGTGGAGTTGATCACTTGATGATCTTACTTCTTTTTTTCCCTCCCTCCGTCTTGTAATCTCACATTCAGATCACCCAACCCTTCGTTCTTCATCTCCCTTTCCACCTTATAAAGTCTTGAGAAGCTCCATTCAGATCACCCAATCCTTCATTCTATTTCCCCCATCTCTTCAGATCTCTTGAGTAGCTTGAATCAGACCTCGTGATCCTCTTTGTTGAATCTCTTCAGAAGCATGAATTAGATCCACATACTCCTCTTTCTTCCTCTTCTCCCGCTTGCAATCCATTGAGAACCATGACTCAGACCACCAGATCCTCTTTCTCACTCTATTCTCTCCTGAAATCTCTTAAGAAGCACTCAATCCTCTCTTTCTCGTTTCTCTCTAAAAATTTCTTTACTAGTTCGAATCAGATACTAATTCCTCTTTCTTTTACTCATGCTCCTCAATTGCAGGTCATCCAGATTGACCCCAGCAAAGAAGAAGAAATGGAATTCTGGCAAGAAGGCAACCTGAGTATCGCTGCCATGGCCAGGAACAGCCTGCTCCACCAGACCACAGTGGCTCATGTCTGTGAAAACTTTGTCTGCAGAGCACCCGTCACCTCCCTTCAAGCTCTCTACACTCTGCTGAACAAAACTCCCACCGGAGCATAGCCCACTGGTTCTTCTGATCTCGTTGTCCATCCTCTTCTACTACTGCAGACAAGCAGCAGGCCACTGTTGTAAGCGTGCAATAGACCACTGAAAGCAAGTTCTTCCACAAGTCAATGTGTTGGAATTGTCAAAGAACCTCTCTCTCCCTCCCTCTCTCTACCCAGACCCAGTCCAGGCTAGTTGCATTACGTCGAGGCTAACCTTTGCCCCCTGACACAGTAAGATCCACACAAATTCTTATACTATATCAGGCAACAATTAAAAAAAAAAAGGCTCACTTTGCCTGCAGATTACTGCTCTTGATTTGTCAGACTGAGGGTTTCAATTCTCAACACAGCCTTTTGGGTCAGCCAAGACTGGGGTTAACAACTAGAATCAGCACACAAACTGTGATAGAGATCACCTTGTGCAGCTATCATCCATCTGAGGGGTTTTTGCTTCATCAGTACATGGTGTGAACAGAACCATGATCCATTCAGCTCTGTATATGATTGGAGGCTAAAACATTCAACATACCATATATAGATTCTCAGTACTCTGCTCCCACCAAGTCCTGCCAAGCTCCCATCTATCAAGGCACAGAAAGAGTGAGAGAAACATGTGCAAGTAAGAGTCGAGGAAGGGATTGAGATCCGTGGGTGAACACAGGGGGAGCCTCTCTATGGCTGGTGGCATTGAAGCTTTTAGACCAGCCAAGAACATGGGAAAGGAGCACACCAGACGCAGTCTGCCAGGGGCTGCGGTGGAGGGGGGGGAGGTGGGTCCGTTGTTATTCTACATAATTACACACGTAGAACATGAAGAACGAATCAGGATGGTGGCAATGGCAATGTTAATGACAATAATCAGGAGAAAGCAGCGGCAGGGAAAAGAAACTCTCGCATTTACAGACCTCCTGGCCTGATCTCGTAGAAGGCCAGTGACTGGCCCCCCGGCGTCCATCTGAATCATGGGGATGAAGAAGAACAAGGGCAGAGAGAGGCTAGGGTCTGGGCAGGTGGGGCTGATCACCAAAAGCTTCGGCACCGCCGCACGCCTGCCAGAGCACAGCATCTGGAGAGAAAGGCTCAGCCCAGCAAGAACCTGAACATGTCGCTCAAGGAGATGATGCCCTCCACGCGCTTGCTGCCAGCTTCGATGACGATGATGCGCCTCACGCCTAAAATAGATGGCCCAGAACATTCAAATGCAATTCTATCAATAAGGATCTTGGATAGATGGCAAGTAGTGCAGATGCTTACCAGGATTGGCCAGCCGTTCCATCACTTTCTGCAGAGGATCGGTGCGCAGGCACATATGGCATCTCTGCCCGTTGAAGAAACCAAACGGAGAGCTGGCATCTTGTCCAAGTTGCAACGCCTGGGTCAACGGGGGAGAGCCACGTTTAGTAATCGAATGAAGAAAAAGATGGAGAGAGGGTCTTACTTGTTTGGTAGAAAAAGGGGGAAAGAAAATGGTTGGGAAGTTCAGAGGAAGAAAAAATGGGATTTTGCAAGGAGAGGCTAACCTGATGGATGCTCATTTCATCGAGGTGGACTTGAGCATAGACTTTGTCTTTGGCAAGATAAGTAATATCACTGTCATGAGGGGACGAAAAAGTCAACTACCCAAATCCAACATTGAGAGAAAAATCGTTTAAAACCAGTTGTGAAGGTCGTTTACCTTCGAGAATATATGTCCACCAGTGAGTCATTATCATCAACTATTGGTATCGAACTAACTCGAGCTGTGAAGTTGAAATGAATAGACGTCAGTTCATGCTATTTAACGATTGCAGCAGCTCATTGAAAAGAAGAGAAGGGATTCCTGCTTGATGTGAATTAATTTCGGAGATCTGATTCTCATACGAGGAATCCTTGCAGATATTTTCCCTCAGATGAAATATGGTAGCATCACATTGTTTCATAAATATTTTGAAATTAATAGTAATTAATTCATTACAGAAGATAGAATTTAGCAATGGGCGAAATTACAGACAAAGCGTTTCAATTTTCAGTAGGAAATTTAGGCCACTGCAATCTGCATCAACCAGAGAAGAACTATCACTGATGAACTCTGCAGAACTACCCTGACATCCATAAAATTATGTGCCTGAAATGTAACCAGAATGATCCGATAAAGCCCTTTCATGTTGATTATATAATGTCTAAACAAGCAACAAACCACTAAGCAGCATTGATTAGCAGCCAACTGTTAAGGTGGCAACCATATTTCTATGTTCCTCTTTCTATAAATGTCTTTTGAAATCCTTTGAATATTGTAATATATGTCAACTTCCATAAATGATCTAAGTGAAAATTCTAAAATCAAATCTGGATCACCAAAAAATTATGTTTTATTATTGGAGTAGAATAAGATCAGATAAAAACAAAGGCATTATCAAATCTAATCAAAAATTTCAGTAAGAAATGTTGCAAGGAACCTCACATGAATGTCTGAGGGCTGATCAACATCCAACAGATGGCAAGAAGACCATTGGCCTTGGGAAGAAGAATATCAGACCAAGAAAATTTTCACGTCCCATATAAGGCTTACTCTAATTTGTTTCATAATAACTAATCGGTAATAAATTTCATTAATCATTTAACTGAAATGATTCCAACCTAACCCGATGAAGATAACAGCAGCCTAAATTACCTTCCACGATCAGTCTTTTTTCTGGCTCCCCATGCTTCAATTAAGGTTTAAATATAAAACCATCGATTAAGGTTCCATAAGAAATGACCCAAGGCAGAAATACACTAGGTTTGTGACCTTCCAGCGCACCTATACCCATGCCTTAACTGGAACCGTTTTTAAGACTTTTGTTTGGTATTTACCCGACTATTGAGGTGAATATCCCGTTCCCAGTTCCATAGTTTCGCACTCAAGATTAGTGAACAATTCTACATATACGCGAAAAATAAGTTATCTCACGAAAACAAAACTGAATGGATCTGGGTTTCATGTCTCATGCTATATTTCAAAATCACTCAGAGTAAACTGTCCAAGGGGCGTTTCCCAAGTTCAAGCAAAGAACATTATGTCTCATCTTTGAGTCAATGATGAACCACTTCATTGAAAGGGTCACAACATTAGATCCTAAGAATGCTAAAAGTACCGAGGCTTTTGACCTGGTTTTTTAGCATTAACCGCAGGACTCTCGATTTTTCATCATTGTATTCATTCCACGTCAATGATAGAAAAAATCACTTGAATTGTGTTCCAAGGTGTAGTGATCTGTGAAGTCTTATGAGTGTCGTTTTTCCAGGGAGTTATAACACTAGTAATGCAATGGACGTTCATTACTATCTTTATAGGTCCTCAAGGTGTTGGGTCAGTTGATGTGTCTGAAGTTCCATTGTAATGCAGTGTAAAAAAGAGCTATGCGAAGCTACTCTTTGATGTTTCTTCAGGCTCCAGTCGAAAAAAAGGAAAAAAAAGCACGACAAACGGGGAAACAAATGATTTCTCTTGTCATGTTAGTGAGTCCCCTCTCCTTAAAGTGGCAAAATCTAGATATGCATAAGGCATAAAACGCATCATTCTTCAACTGCCAGAGAATATTTTCAGACAGAATATAACTACCCAAACAAAATAGTGCCTGGTTGCCTGTACTCTGAGCTGAAAAGTACCTTCAACTAACAAAGATAGGGCAGAGCTAAGTGAAGCATTTGATCTGAGCATTGCCAGAGGCCGAACATTTGTTTCTCCAATGTTTGGAACCCATGTACCAATAGGAAATGAACATATTGGTTGTTGGAGAATCGGTAGGGAACTGGAAGAATGCCTAAAATGTCTGCATACACCTGCATGTAGGAAAAGAAGGGGTTTTAGAACTAAGTTCTTGAGATGGTATAGATACTTTGATATTCGCCATTTTTATGCAACGACTGTGAACATAAGAAAAACTTACATTTCAGTATCCCTGAAAGTGATGCAAGATACAATAACTGCGGAAAAGAACCATCTTTTGCAGAAGAATGAATAATTGGGACTGTAGCCACTTCATTCTGCAAAATCTTCAAGGCTATATCAGCCAGTGTATCGTAAGGTCCCATCTGCACCAAAACAGCCAAGATGGGCAAAATTATTCACTCATAAAAATGATACTGGTATCATCTCAGTTGCAATAGAATTTTCAGACGACGAAAACAGTCATTAGAAATCACAGTTGCCAGAGGAACCCGAAGGGTGACTAAGTTACCAACAAAAAAATTAACTGCAGTCTCAAAACATATGTTGTGAGTACAAAGGAGGCCCTGAAGTCATTGAAGAGTGACTGAGGCTAGATAATTTAAATGCCGAATTGCAAATGATAGAAGTACATAGATCACTCCTGTCTTCGACAATGTTTTGCCACAGTTGTCAAAAGAGTGCTTGAGACTAGGTTCCACATGCTGGAGAGTAATCGTCAGCATGAAAACAAAAGAGGAACTCAACCAGTAGGCGGAACTCAAAACAGGAGATTGCACAGGAATGGATCCCTTCAACAGTGGAAAAAGAGATTCCTGTTATAGGGATCAGAAACAGAGACATGGATCTTGCAGGATGCCCCCTACGTGTCTGTTGATCTCATTTGAAGACCACGGTGAGTAATCAACTTATCTATCATAGGCTTGCGGAGCATTACATTTTAGATTCAGCTGCCAGAAAACGGCAGAAAATTACTCCATTCAGTAACATGGCATAGGGCATTAGTGGTGCACAATAAGAGAGGCAAAAATCCTTGTTGTGATGGTAAACAAAAAGCGGTTTTCCCTGAGGATACCATAAGACGTTGGATGGTCAACCACTACCAAGTTGACTGCAGTGCTGGTTCATTGTCACCTGTTCTTTCAGCATAGAGATGTGTTCCAGAAACTGGAGCAGCACAAATGTAAAGAGGCCCTGATGGTGAAGGATACCAGAGAGAGGGCGAGGGGAAGAACGAATGTCAACATAATCACAACCATTGTATACAGAGTTGGATAGACATTACAAGGTGGGATATATGCTTCAGCATGCAGGTAGCTAAAGGACAGAAGCAGGATCAGGGTACATGAAGGAATCCCACATTAGGCCCACTTATGATTATGCTTTTACACTAGCCAGAGACCAGACATCATAGAGGAGGATTGGAGCATCAGCCCCACCTCTCAAACTGAAGCCAAACAAAGGAAACTGGCATAGTAAAACCGCCAGCACAGGTTCAAGCGTCAATGGGTGAATACAAGGAAGCGATAGAAAAATCACCCCAAAGTCAATCAAAAGACAAAAACCAATAAATACGAGATATGTGGAAGCCAATTGAGATTAAGGAATGTCTTCAATGAATTTGACCAGAAATCCAAAGAACAGAGAAGGATGAAACTGAGAGAAAGGAGAGAACAAAATCAGATAAAAACTTGAATATCCAGTCCATCTGATATGTTAGAGAATCTGGGCCATATTGTACAACCACACGATATAATAAATATTCTGAACTCGTACACTACTGCCTGTGCAAATGCATTCACCAAGAGCTGTCAAAATATAAACTGTTTTAAAGGAAAGAATGTTCACGCCCTGGTATAAATACTGAATGTCCCATGCAACCAAAATATCAGCCAAACTTAATATATCCAATAATAAACTTTTACTGTGTAAGATAGTCAACATTCCACTCTTGCTCTGTCAACATGCCTCACCTAGCTAGCAACAACTAAAAGAAAAAAGCAGTTTACGTCAGCAATCAGACAAAGCTTACATGCAGTAAATCCCTCTGAATCAGTCTTCCATGACCATCAACTTGCCTGTGGAGTTGCTGCTTTCCCTCTTTCCAAGCAGATATTGTATGAGTTTCAAGCTCTTCCTCCGTCAGATTTGAACCATGATTTCCAAGCTGCAGTTGTTAAATATGTGGATAAATTTACACCACATCATAATGACAGACAAAAAATCAAGAAAACCGAAGAAAGTTCAAATTTGTAAAAAATAAGAGGAACGAAAAAAAAGCATCCGCTTGGAGATCTGATATTGTATTCAGAACCTTCCCAATTAAGAAACAAGATAACTAAATTATGATCTATCATAATATAGCTCGTATGCCTGAAAAACAGATTAATGAGGTGACATCCATGGTCTCGGACTCCTTTTACAAAATTTAAAAAAAAAAATCCACCTGTAACTGGCCTGTGCAATACTGTGAACTTGACAAATGATTTGAAATGAATTTACATCAGCAGACATGGAATCAAATAGGTCAGTCATTGAAACCCAGAACTGCAAGGGGACAAAAACAGACACCAAAGTAGGTGTCTGACTCTCTTGCGCCTGGTAAGCACCAATGGTATAGGCCCTGATCCAGATAAGTCTGGATGATTAGCTTGAAGGATTGAAAGGTAAGAGAAATGGAGATTCCATGCCGTTTCTGCTGGTCAAGTAAAAACGTATCTAAGATTTTTTCATGAACACTCAAACCTTGCTTTTTTGGTTTATACATCAAATTTGGGAATATGATGAACACGATCAAGGAAAAAAATATGATAAAAATATAAATCGACTACAAATGTCCACAGATGTAAAATAGATCTAAATATACTTACATAAATAGAAAGAAATATTCCAAATTAAAGATAACATAAAGTTGTAATGTAGTAAATAAAGACATTGAATGATGCTGAAATACCTCTCTCAGAATCAATATGAAGTCCAACGCACTAAGCACTCCAACAAATTGTCCCCGGGAGAAATCCCATAAAGGAGCCACAGGCATACCCTGGAAATGTCAAACAGGTAAAAACAGTGATGGAAATCGTTCAGAGGCACTGATAAGTGAATTTCTCGAGATTTGGCATAGCTACCAACCAATGTTTAGAAGATTACTCCAAAAAGCGTAATGATTTGGAAATGAACACAGGCATATCAATACCAATGTGGAAAAAGATAAGTCACCATGAGAATGATATTCAAGCTAGGCGAATCTTCCAGCTATATCTGTAAGTTTTAGTGGTAACAACACACCCAGTATCCAAAGTACACAATCAAACTTTGTTTGAGGACAACTGAATTACCAGATTAATGAACCTGACTAAGGGGGAAGGATGAAGAGCGTTTGATTATCAGCACAAGTATTGAAGGAAGAAAGGAAAGGAGGGCGAATTGTCATACTAGATTGTGAGGTAGGAGATTCTCGCATCTCCTACCTTGGAATACCATTTACTACGTTCTTACACTAAAGGGTTGAGTAAAGATTGTGCAGAAATTTGAAAGCAGAGTGGAACGAAAGGTAGGATTCTTTCTTCAAAGGGAGGCTTATTTCTACACTTCTCTGAAAGGTTGCATCTGTCCACCTATGAAGCAATTCAACTTCTTTGGAGAATCATTAATAAATATTTGATAATTCAGTTGATCGGAAATAATGTGAAACAATTTACAAGAAATGAAATACACTCAGCATCAATCAGACACAAAAAATTTGTTGAAGATCCCCCAACCAGCTTGTATTGAGGCAATGTGATCACAGAGAGATCAACGAGAAAACCATGCCATTCTGCATGTTTGGAGTTTTTCAAAAGGCTATTATGTATCGATAGCTCAATAAAGGTCTTATTTTTATTTTTTGCCTTATCCATATATATGTTAGCTATGGATTCTCCCGTTACTGCTTTTCTTTAGAATTGTCTGGTTATATGCTTATCCCCTCAGAATTTGGTTTCCTTTTTTAAATGCAAAACCGAAATCTGTGAGATCCCTTAACTCTTACAAGAGTAGATTAATACCACCTTCAAACAAGCTGAAGCCAGGCTCAGGGTTAAAATCTGTTTTTACCACGAATACCTAATAGGTATCCTGAATCGAAAATCACCACACAAAAAAAATGTTCTAGCAATTCGCAGAAGTTCGCTGCAAATGTCTTGACCAATTAATTGAGATATTTACTCTGAGGAAAGTCAATATAGTACCTGTTCATATAGGATATGGAATGCTTGTTTCACAGGCAAATTAACATCAAGGGCAATAACCTGAAACAATTTGAAGCAGACAGTGAAACAAGTTACACAGGAAGCAAAGTTCCTCCGCTATAAATGAAAATTTGGAAGTTCTGATAATAATGATTCATATAAGGCAAATATTTAAACCTTCCCAGAGTCTGGCAGCAAGTCATAAGCCGTATGTGTCGATAAAAATACGGATATTCGATGGCGAGATATGTCGATATCAGCATCTGATACCCTCAGAGGTTCAACTTGAAGGTTTCCACCTGATACAGTAACCTGCTTGACATTGAAGGAATAGAAATGCCAGAAAACATTAATACAATCATCTAACAGGGCATGAACGCGAACGGAAAAAAGGTTGTATCATTCAAATCAGTAACCACCTCCACTGAGCATGAGCGTCAGAAAGAAACCAATGAAGTTAACATGTTGATGAAAAAAATTAATGTCTTGGTCTTCCTCTAGATGAATAAAGTGATCATTCGCTGAGACAACTAATGTTTCCACAGTAACATAGATTCGGGCGCAGAAGCACAAGAGAATGACAAAGGCAGAAGTTTTATATGTTCATTGATTTCTACCCTTTACATTTTTCTTCTTTTTTCTTTTTCTTTTTTAAGGTTCGGTGTCAAATAGCAGATGAAATCAGTAAAATCAGGCACACTGAAGTCGCTGTTTTTTTTTTTGCATTTTTGAAACATATTAAGGCGAAAAGAAAAAAGCAGTCTGGCAGTATTACAAATGTATTCAAAATGTGCAATCACTGGGCAGATTACACGGCCAAATAGTGCAATCAGAATGGGTTACCATATGACAAATAGTTAGTTCTTGATAAACCAGATTACATGCCCAAGGTCATGTGAAATCACATCATCTCATTAATTGCAGACAATGCAACAGGCGTCAAAGAAAAGCACGAAAATTTGCAATGTTTCATTTGCAACGTGTTCACCCAATCATTGACATGGTTCAACATAATTTACTTTCACAGGCATTAATGCATACCTTCAGCTAATCAACTGAGATACTCCCATTTTCGAAAATTTATTTATCCATAAATGACCTTTCATCATTGAAAACAAAGACTGTAAATAGTGATTGTCAAAAACCTCATTCCTTTGAGCTCTCTGACAATGCACACTCACCTTGTCAATACACACACGAAGATAGACAGTATTCTTAAACATGGAAAACCCTAACGGAAGTTAATAATGCAGGGAGAGAGAAAAATGAGGTTTCTCCCGACAGTTTGAGACACTCAAGACAATTTAATATCATAGCTAAGAAGAAAGAGAGAAAATTCAGTTTCCAATAAACTAGGAATAATCCAAATCAACATACCACACGCTGAAATGTTTCATTATCAACATCCATGCTCACTCCACTGGTGGGTGTCTCAGGATTGGGGATTGGAGTAGGGTCAGATTCCCTAGTTAGAACCACAGTATTTACTACCCCATAGTTTCCCGTCACAGAGGGTTGCCGTTCGTCATGCCTCCATTCCCCATCAACGAAAAACTTGTACTGCATTGACAAAATGCATCAAGGATAAATCATTTAAGTAAGAAACTTTCATATTGAACGCATGCATGTATGTGCACCTTCAAAAAAATGCCAAAACTTTACATAATTAATTGTTTTAAAGGTCAGTAATTATAATAGCAAATCATTATGCTAATCAAGTGCTCGGATCTCGTTCTACATTGTCTATTTGTCTAGCCTTAAAAGACCAACGGTAATCAAGGGGAAAGATGTCAGAAGGAAACAAGAAAAATCATGCACTCCAGAACACAAAAATTAGAGTAACTAAGATCACCTCTCAGTGGGTATAGCTGACTTGTGAATGTCTTTCTGAATACTGAATGCGGTGAATGCCCACTTTTCTTAGAATATTGGATTCCTTGTAACAATCTTTTTTCTATCTTCATATCACCTAGTTTTCGTTTTTATTTGAAAGATGAAATGAAGGTCCTCCTATTGAATTCAATTGGGGGAGGAAATTACCGTATTAAATTTTAAATGCAGTTTTAAGTATCTTTAGGTGAACAATATTGTGCAATCAGGAGATCTCACCTGATGAATCCCAGGCGTCAAGCTGCAAATGGCCTGAAATACTGTGGGACAACCCTCCATTGGGGACATTGGTAAGTGTTCGGACCACCTAAACACAACGCAATATGGATGCTATTAAAAACAATTCATGATCCATTAAAATGGAAAAACATCCATCAAGAACATATATAATGCACATCTCCACCATGTGTTTTTCTCCTTTCAACCCCAGTTTCAGGTAGAGATGGAATTTTCTATGCAACAAGGAAGAACAACAATCTATCAGACAAGTCCCAGGACCAATTAGGCACCGAAACCGTTATTAATATCTTCCATGCATGGCCTGTCAAGAATAATCAGAACTAAAAGAAGGAAAAAAAAAAGAAAAAGGTATACGAATGAATATTCTTAAAAGCTAACCTAGTGAAAGAACCGCTGAGAAAGACCCTCCTACCACCATACGGCCAGAAAAACCGCGTGGGAATCAGCACAGTGCCCGAAGCCCCGCTAGCATTTTGTCCTCCTGCATCCGTCTCCGACGGAAACATCTGGCCAAACACTCCGCGTGACGAAAAACACTGAACCTGATGCGACACTGAATTCTGCGGAATTGCGGCTCAGAAATCGTTTCTAATGCCTGTAACACTAGCCTCCGAGTCGAACAACCACCTCCTGCCCCGGTGCTTTTCTTCTTCAGGAGACCTCATGAAGATCCCGGAGAAGGAAGGTCACATCCCATTCCAGAAGAGAGAGCCAGCAGCCCAAAACTCTGAAACCAGACCGAAACCCTCATCGGAGACATTTCTTCCCGCAACGGGGCACCGCACAGCGGACGCAGCAGACCCCCCGAGGAATCCTCAATCAGTCGACCCACACCTGCAGGCGAGTAAAACCGCAGCAGCACATCTGACCACAACTCTGACCCCAAAAAAAATGCGCCGGAAAATCCTCCGACAAGATCTCCTCCTCACTCGACCAGAAATCGGAAAGCCACCCCCAATTCAAGCAAACTCCACCCTATCGGAGCTTCGACCCGTCCAATCAGCTGCTCCCCCCGATCTCAACGCAACCGAGCTTCGAGAACCCTAATTAACCGGGGAAAAATGCGGGAACGGAGGAGATTCTGAACCCTAGAGACCCCGACTGCGTCCCCGGCGAACACATCGGATTGGTGGCGCGTCCAATTCACCGGCGCAGGAACGACGATAAACCAGCGCGACCCGCCCGGTAAAAAAGCAGAATTTTGGAATAAAAAATCCGAAGAAACAAGCCCGGCCTCCAGGCGGCGGAGGAATCCTTCGAGCGGGAGAGACGATGACGACGACGATGATGGAGATAGAGAGAGAAAGAAAGAGATAGAGAGAGAGAGAGCCTGCAGAGATAGAGCGAGAGGGACAGGCGGCGGCGGTGATTGGATCAGGTTATCTGACTGACAGCTTCAGTGAGTCGCGATACGTACTCCTATGGGGGCATGTGGTCACGAGCTCTCCCCGGGAGGGGAACGTTGTGGGCTGCCTGCCGCCTGACCGGGATTCCCGGGCAGATTGGGATGGGACTCGATTGGGCCCACCATTTTTTAATTATATTATATAACAGTAATAATACAGACTATGTTTAAAAGTATGCTGTAAATGGGCTGTATAAGCCCATACCACGGGCCCGGCCCGTTAATAGCCCAATTAAAGACTTTTCAGCTTCTTGGGACAGTGGCTACAGCAGGTCAACGCCTGATCCAATTGGGTCATCAGGCAGCCAGGTGTCCTGTCGTCCGTGAGTCTTATTTGGACACGTGTCAGGCCATGTGAACGACATCAGCATACTTTGTGTCTCGGGAATGTTGGCAACATTTAGTCCATTATATAATCTCATTCTACTTTTAGTCCAAGGGAATTAAATCGCATATTAAATCATTGAATTAATTTTTAATGGACTCACTTAGATGATATCTAGCCTAGATCAGGGAGAAAAAATGACGAAACATTTCATCAAATTATTACCTCAATTAGTAACTATGAGATTACCAAGAAAGACACTAAGTGGGTCTAAGGTCAAGGGGAAGGGAGAACGTACTTATTACACATTAAATTGATATTTATTAATATATCCATTATGCATAACTATATATAATAATGTAAGTTCATGAGTTTGATAATATTTATGACCCAAGTTGGACCCCACCCCCTGTATTCAAGAACCATATTCTTTTCTAATATTGCATTGCATTTAAAAAAAAACTATTTTTTTGTGAAATTAAATAAAAATAAAAGGTCAATATTGTTATTGGTTTTGTATGGAAATTTCCCACCTGCCCACCCATACATCATTAAACACTATATAAAGCATTAAAACTTTATTGGGCTCTTTTTTATATAATTCTCAGTATATCACAATATTTTGTCATGGATTTGTCAATAAAAAAATATTTAGAAACGTTTAGAAATGTAAGCACTCATATTTTTTTTCCTACATATTTTTTTATTTTACAAAAGAACACCACATTTGTGCAATCTTATGGGGTATGAATATAAAAATAATAAATTGAGGGATTTGAAACCAAAGTTTTTGAGAATCAAGAGCTAGTACCACACCATACATTCATCATCTTTCCTTTTTTAGTAATGTTTTCAAATAATTCATACATTAATTCAAAATTTTAAAACCTTGGTTTTCTAATGTGTTCATTATGACCGTTTTTCAAGAACTTCACCAGATTTTATCTCAATGGTCTCCTTGTTTGAATCCTCTCTAAATACCCTCTTAGCCACTAACCCTCCACAAATCTTTTTTTCACCCTGATACCATAATATTGGAATAATTTTCACCTTATGATCATATATATATATACCTCTCAAGGTGTCAAAATTCACCCTACCAAAGTGGGTGCCAATCTTGGACTCCTGCATCCCTAAAAATATAACGTAAATGTCAAAATATCACCATGGATCTCCCCAGTTTATGGTTTTCACTTACATCCCTATCTTTTCAGACCCTTGTGTTAATACTTAGTTAGAAAGTTTATTCAACAGCTATAATGCTGAGCTTGAGGAGCCTTAAGTTTTTTTTTATTTTTATATAATCTAGTGGCTTTTACTGAAGAATTTTGGAAGCAGTGAAATTGATGAGACGGTAAAAGGTAAATATAAAATTGTGTCGTCTGAAACAAAAGTGCTTGTTTCTCTAGGGACTGAAATAAAATAAACGATGGCTGTTGGGGAATCAAGGGAAGAAGAAAATGCAGGAAAAAAATAATAATATTATTTCCGTTTCTCAGTGTGTCCACAGGAGAAGGGAGAGCTTCGACAGTTGGATGCTTCCCTCCGATCGAAGGGGATCGTTGTTGGAGTAGGGTTTTCTTGGGGAGTTGGTCATCTGTAATCGTGCCGAGAGGGGTAGGGAGATTGATGCAAGGGAGGGGATCCGGAGCGAGCGGAGTCGTCGGGGCGGCGCCTATCGCCGGGGATGCGTGGATGGCGAGATGGGAGGGCCTCCGTGGGGGAAATTGGAGGGAAGGTTTTGCCGCGGGTTTGGTGATCTTGTCGTACACTTTGGGGAGGGAGAGGTGAAGGAGGTGGGAGAGGGTCGGAGGAGGGGAAGGGAGTGCCTGTGTTGGTTGTCCGGAAGCCCACCTGCACTTGTGCTTGCATTATGCTGGCCGTGAGGAGAAGGGAAGACACCAAGAAGGGGCGAGGGTTAGAGCTTGTGTATGGAGAAGTGGGGGAGATGGGGGACAATGAACTCGAAGATGGTGAAGCCTATTCGGGCGAGGTGGATAACGCCACCATCGACCCTGGCATCTCCCTCTCCTACATCGTAAGACCCCCCACATACCCCATTGGTAGCCCCGGCGTCCATTAATCCATTGCTTGGCTCTCAATGTGGAAGGAGAATTTTTTCGTTGGGTTTAGTTAATCTCCTTGTTCAGTACGTTTATTCTTCAGCCTTATTTTTAAGCCTTGGATTTGTGAAAAGGTTCTTGATGTTCTTTTCTTTTATGCGCCAGGAATTCAAATATCTGCACATAGTTTATTCATGTTGTTCATGGCCGTATTGTTACCACTTTGTTCTTGTAGATATGGTCTCATCACTGCGGATGAGCGCTAGACATTACTCCGAAGTTTTTTTCCATCATTCCCGTATAGCTTAGAACATTTCGCTAGGAAGAATTTTCCTTCATGTACTTTCAGGATGACAAGATCCAAGATGTCTTGGGCCAGTTTCAGAAAAGTTTTGGAGGTGGAATGTCTAGAGAAAGTTCGGGTAAGATTCAGTGCATAAATCTTATTCTCCAACTCTAATGTTGGATTATAGTACTGTAGCAAGCAACTGGGGATGTTTTTATTGAGGAGACCAAATAAGCGGTTTTCATGATTTCACAGGGACAAGGCTTGATGAATATGGTTCATTCTTACCAGTCTATCAGCGTGTGCCATCTGCCTTTTCTCGTCCTGGATGTCAACAGAGGGAACCTGTATGCAATGCACCGAGGGCTCCTTTCAAGGTGTCTGTTTTATTCTCATTCTTTTAAATTATCACTTTTCAGAGAATTGCATCGACCTGTAGTTGGCACAGTTGATCTGCATCCTAAGGAGCATTTTACTTGTTGGACAGGGTGCACAACAGACTCCTGTAGTTCCATCCAATGGGTCCGTTCCCCATAGAAGTAACTCTGCCTCAGTAATACCACCAACTGTGGATGTCAGAAAGAGAAACAACACATGTGTCAGCACTCCTACATCTGGAGAATTTATTCTGCGGGATGATTCGAGTCGTAGATTTGAGGGAAATAGTGACCCTAAAATACTGAAGGTTCGCATTAAAGTAGGGTCTGACATAGTGTTGCCAAGATCAAATGATGCAATTTACAGTGACATGGGCCTTGATTATTCTCCATCATTATCAGTGGAGGACAGTCCAAGCGGGGAATGGACTTTGGGTGACATCTGTGCTACGAAAGAATCTCCAATGGGTATTTATCAGGTAATCATTATTAACAATAGTCTCCTTTAGTGGTGTTTTTCACGACTTAATTCTGTTTATATTTTTTCAATTTTGTGCGACAGGTTATGAAAAAGTTTGTAGCTGTCGATGGACGTATTCTTTCCCCTCTTCCTGACAGTCTATTGTGCCTGATGGAGAAAGAAGGTGCATTTCAAAAGGAATGTAAGTTAGGTTCTCTCCACAAATTTGAAGATGAGGCTTTATCTATGAACAATGGGAAAAGCTACGAAGATGGACAAGTAAAGTCTGTTGAGACAAATGCAAGGTCCTTAGGATCAAAGAGCATCAATTTGAAACGTGGGGAAAACAGTACAACTAGGATGACAAGGGCATATTTGGATACAGAAACATCAGGTAACAGAGAGCCTACACCACCTGTAAATGCTCAGAAACTGCCTGCTTCAAAAGTTGCTGGTGAAAAGGCTGAAAAGCAACCATGTGGAGAGTCAGGGAAGGCATGTGATGCCTCACGAGGCTCCAATAAGGTGTTGGGCTTGGACACAGATTTTTCACCTGAGTTTTCAACGGATGAATCATTGGTATGTAGTACTACTATGGAAAACACAAAGGTTGGCAGTTTCGGGAATGATTCCTCACATTTGAAGGGGAAAGTGAACTTCAGAAAGAGTTCAACTGGCAAGGCATTACAAGAAGGAAAAAGTAATGGTAACAAAGACGAACTGTTTGATCCACATAGTATGTGTGGAGAAATAGCAGATAAGATCTACAATGTATTAAATTCAGAGTTTGGATCGAAGGGAAGCAATGATCTGACAGTCATGACTGTGGACCATATGAAGGAAAAACCTTCTCAGAAAACTAGCTTGCGTGGACCATATGATGAGAAGATGTTCCTAGCAAAGGTTGTCGAAGAAAAACCAACGGAAAACCAAACAAGTGGAATTCAACTCATGGAGATTCCCAGGAAAAACATTAAGGGCAGATCCTTATCTTCGAAAGAGAAGAAGAAAGTTTGTCGTGCAAAAAGCGAAAATTCCGAAAAAAAGCGAAATGGTTTAAAATCTCATAAATCGAGTAGGATTCTTACTAAGCAATACCAAAGAAATTCACTTTGTGAGGCAGAAGGTGAACAAATGGAGAATATTAATGATCCAATTGAAAAAGTTGTTACTGATATAAGAAATGATTCGAAAATTGAATGTGAGAATTTTCGATTGTCTGAACGAGTAGAAAAGAATCCCGAAATCTCACCTTGGATGGCTAATGTACCAACTTCTGATGCAGCTTCAGCACCTTCAGCTCATGTCATTGAGGAAAATTGGGTCTGTTGTGACAAATGTCAGAAATGGCGCCTTTTGCCACATGGGACTAATCCTGATCATCTCCCCGAAAAATGGCTTTGCAGTATGCTCAGTTGGCTGTAAGTAATTTTCAAAATTTTATGCCGCCGAGTTGAGCTTGTTGTTTTGCTGCTGTGACTAATTACATACATGGATCACGTCTTATGCTTGTATCTGATTTTTTTTAATTTTAACATACTGCCAGTAACAACTATGTTTATGTGCTCTGATCCCTTAATGTCTCTTTCTTGTATTTTGCAATGCCGTTTGTTTATATACATTTATGCTTTGATGTCTTATTCATTTCTTTCTCCCACTCAACTCCTGCATCCAATCTCTATCCAGGCCCGGAATGAATAAGTGCATTATCAGTGAAGAGGAGACGACAAGAGCTCTCCATGCTTTGTACCAAGTACCTCTCCCTGAGAACAGAAGTAACATGAATGGCCCTACTGATGCAGCTTTCCTGGGAAAGGCTTTCACAGATGACCGTCATCAGTATCAGAATCATGATTCTGTTTTGCTTTCGTCACCCACTCATGGAAAGAAAAAGTATACCGGGAAGGATACATCGCATCCCATTGATCCAATTCAGCTACCAAATTCTGTAAAGAAGAAAAAGCAGGTTTTTGTTAAGGATAGAAGCTATGATGGGACGCATGAAGTCGAACCAAAACGATCACGGAGATCCTCTGTTCAGCATATCAGCAAGCCAGCAGATTTTTATTCAGGAAGTGATGATGGGAGACAAACAGAGACATGCAAAACATTGAAAACATATTCCGTTGAAGGTCATGCTCCATTCTGTTCTTTGTGATGCATCATCCCTTTTTACTTTTAGAAAGGATGACCTTTATCTGGATATGTTCAATTTATTCCTGACATGATACTCACATAATTGTGTATATTCACTGCAGGTGAAATCCTTGAAGAAGATTGTAAACCTTTCAGATCCAAGAGCAAGAGAGACTTTGATCAAGATGGAGTTCAAAGTTCCCAAAAGGTCAAGGCCAAGGGAACATCTTATGGTTCTGGAGATTGGAATTCTGACCAAGATTTTGCTGGAAAATCTCCACTAACTTTTTCCAATGGTTTTTTATCAAAGATCGAAGAAAGAAGTTCAATGAAACTTACTGCTAATGCTTCATTGAATCCTTCCAGAAATGATTCAAAGGCAAACTTATCAGGGTCTGTGAGTAAATTGACAACAGATATACACTTATCAGGCAAAGATCAGTTTATTGCTTCTGACATGAAAGAGTCCGATAAAATGTTTTCTTCTACAAAGAAGAGAAAGATAAACTTGGAGAACTTTCGGGTCCACTCTGAGACTGTGGTGGGTTGCGGATATGTTGCAGATGATTTATTAAGCATCAAAGAGGAAATAAGTGAAAGCAACCCAAGGAATGAAAAGAAGGCAAAAATTTCAAAGGCCAAGGGAAAGGAATCCGTTAAAATTAAGATGGGTACTAAAATTGACAAAAATGGTCGGGTAATGAGAATCTTGTTGTCTAATGTCAAGGAGCATATGCTTCATGGAATAGAGAAACGTAATGACTCTGCTGAGAAGCAAAATGGGCAGTTCCAATGTGAGGCATCTCTAAAAAATATGGACTGTTTGGATTCATCGAAAAGGGATTTGTCCTGTGTGCTGCATTCTACTGTTGCTACTTCAAGCTCATCCAAGATCTCAAGCTCGCATAGAAGCAAGTCAAAATTTCAGGAAGCTAGAGGTTCTCCTGTAGAATCTGTTTCTTCATCACCTTTGAGGATTTCCAATCCTGATGCATTTGAAGTTAAATCTAATGCTGTAGGAAAAGATGCTGCGACTGGTAGCTTTTCAAACGGAGGTAACAAAAGAAGATCCTTTGAGTGTGCAGTTGGTGGTGGGATAGGACAGTCTGGGACAGTAAGAAGAGAGAAAGATTCTTCAATTGCCCGCTGTGATTTTCAGAAAAAGGATGAAACTCCATTATTAGTTGAAAATGGAAATGTCGTGGCACACTTGAATCCAATGAGGAATGCGCATGATGATCATTCACTGTCTATTTTTGGAGAAAATAATATGGTGGTTGGTGCTGTGAGCATTTCAGATCGCTATAATAAATATCCTGACGACAACATCCATGCTAGTAAGAATCATGGCTGTGACCCGGAAAAGCTGAATAATAACATCCGTGCTAGTGTTTCTGGCCAAAAAAAATCAGTCAAAGGTCCTTCACCCAGGTTGAATGGGAATCATGAAAGTTCGAAAAGCTATACTGGTAACAAGAAACTTAAGATACGAGATTCTTCTAGTGAGCATAAAAATTTAGACTCTTCTAAGAAAGGGAATATTTCCAGACATGGTGCTGCTATGGATTCTCGCGGTCGTTCTCCATATCATGAGGATTTGATGGATCAAAGGTATATTGGCGCACAGAGAGATAATGAAAACAGAGAATCAGAGGGGAAATGGTCAGTTGAATGTGGACGGAATAGCCAGTCAAATTTTCTATCTGACGAAAATTTGGAGGCTGATAGCTTGCTGGCTAAACAGCCAAGGGGTCTCCACTCTAGAGGCAGTGGGGCTGGAACTGTCGCCAAAAAGGTTGGCAAGTTTCGTTTGCAAAATGGTTGTCAAACCGCAAATTTTCATGGGGATGAAAAGCCATCAGCCTATTTAATCTCCGTTGAACCTGATAAATTGAAGAAAAAACTTGGAAGAGGAAAGTCTCCATTTGTCTCACATTCTGGGGATAAGCAAGAAGTACAACTTCAAGTCCTCCAAACGGTTTTTTCACACACCAACGCAGGCAAGGCAGTAGTGTCATCTATTAGTGCTGCAAGCAATGATATACTGAAGAAGGCTAAGCAACCTAAGCTTGATAGCCAGAATGCAATGAATCACAATGGTTTGAGACATCCGATACCTAGCGAGATTGATGCCCCAAGTTTCATCAGAAGGGATGCTAACCAAAGTATAACAACTGCTTTCAAGGAGGCGAGGGATTTGAAACACACTGCTAACAGATTAAAGGTTTGTTCTAGCATCTGTCTTATGAAGAATTACATTTTATTTGTACTGTTGAGTGGGTGAACATTTTGACCATCTATGGCAGGGTGAAGGATTGGAGCATGAAAGTACTGGTCTATACTTTGAGGCAGCATTGAAATTTCTTCATGTGGCCTCCCTTCTTGAGTCTTCAAGTACTGAAAGTTGCAAAAATGGGGAGACTACCCAATCAATGTCTATGTATTCTGATACTGCTAAACTCTGCGAGTGAGTAGAACTTGAAAGGCTCGATAACCATATTATTGCCTTTTTTGCCTGTGAAAATTGCGGATGATTTTATTCATCATGACGTAAAGTTAGACATGCTGTGTTTGCTTTTATTCCGTCATTGGTATATATGTTTTATATATTTTACCGTCTCTAATATATGCTTTTGATTCCTATGCCCGTCCCCAAAAGATGGCCGGTTATGTTTGGGTAATAATCCTTTGCGGAGCATACTTCTCTGTGAACAACTTTTTTGTTGGGATAGTGGATTTTGAGTGGATTATTATCTATTGGTTAACTAGGCGTTTTTGACGCAGATTTTGTGCTCATGAATATGAGAAATGCAAAGAAATGGCTGCAGCTGCTCTGGCTTACAAATGCATGGAAGTGGCATATATGAAGGTTGCCTTTTGTAAGCATTCCGGTGCAAGCAAAGATCGAAACGAACTGCAGACAACTCTACTCATGATCACTTCAGGTAAACCAACTAATTTTGTGTACCTAGCTAAATAAGAATGAAAATGGTTTCAGAAGCCAAAGTTCTTTTGCTGGTGGCACCTCCGGAACAGGCAATGGTTTTATTTTGTATCTATTGTTTTTCACTGAATTCCAGTTGTTTTGAGTGCGCCTCTCCATCACTTGTGCTTTGGCAATGACTATTCATGTGTTTGGGAAGTTGTCAATGTACCTTCTTATTCTGTAGGGGGTCCTCACTAATCCTAGCCTCTTGGTTAGGACAGTCAGTTCGTAGAGAGCTAGAAGCTTTGCTGTTTTTCTTTGGAAAATAGGCAGTTTGGTACCGTTCATTCTCGGAAGCTGGTTGTTCAATCATCTTCTTGAAATCTTCTGATGTTTGAGTGGCTTACAACTCATGTTGCATACAGTTTCCTAAAAGCCATGTTTCGAAGAATGGGATATTTTCACTATGGATTGGCACATATGGGTTGGAACAGCCTTTCAATCCAGTTAACTTTGGGGGATCTTATCCTTATATGTACATGTTTTTATGCATATTTATATCACATTATGTGGCCTTCAAACTCAAAATTACCCAAATTTTGGTTAAATCAGATGCTCATCAGCAATGGTTGGCTACATAGGCAACATTAAGGTTGCTTTCCCTCACCTGGAGGAAGATGACGACTCTGTTTGACCCTAAGCAATGTCACTTGGGTCGATTAGGTTAAGTAATTTGTCTCCATATGTGACGGAAAGGCATTCCTATGAACTCATCAATAAATTGGACGAATCTTCCGCATGAACTCTGTTTGCCAAATGCTGCTGGTTATTTTCATCGCACTTTAAATAGCTTGTTTCTGCAGAATGTTGCACATGTGCCTCCACGTTGACGAAAATCTCATGTGCCTCCGCTTCATTCGTTATGCATATATGGATTCTGCGTTTATGGATTACCCATTTATTTCATTTAGCACAAGAAAGATGTGGTAGAAAGTCTCAGCCCTTAAATGATGGAGGGGTATGCAGACCAGATGACTCTGGGTCTTTGTCTCCTCACCTATTAGTGGCTATTTCAGCTTTCCCTGGCAGAAGCATAGAATAGCTATATGGAGAATTAAATTTTGTTTGTTTCAGTTATTTCTCAAAGCGGTGAATGAAGTTTTACGATTGGAGTCCTGTTTTCTCCTTGATCCTCAGAAATGCTTTTCTAAACATTGCAACGTAAGTGGCAGCACCGGTGTAAACTTAATATTCTATCAAAGTTTCTATTCATCATTGGCTTTTGGTTTACGAGCGTCAAAATGATCCCCAATGATGTTTCCAATCCGATAATGTTCGGCAGTGTTTAATTCAGAAACTGACATTAATGTTTAATAACCCCCAAAGATTCAGTTACCATTCAATGTTTTATTGGGGATAACGAATATTGAAGCAACTGACTTCTGTAATATAATATTGCTATTTGCTCTCGTATGTTAATGACAGTAGATTTGTGGCTTCTTTAGTGGACGTTAGGTTGAACCTGCATGATGCATCAACTAACTCCTACGTTGAAATGGGAATGCATGCCTCTTATTTTAATTGCTGGGTTACTGTTCGTCTCTATATAATATATATTATGTCTTTTTTTATTTTTCATAATGCACTTCACGGGAGTATTCTCAGGGACGCAAGTTTGTTGCTGTTACATGATGTTCACATTTTTCAACAGGTGAATCACCCTCTTCTTCAGCTTCAGATGTCGATAATTTGAACAACCACAATATACTTGATAAGGCAACATTAACAAAGGGTCGAAGTTCACCGCAGAGCATCAGTAACCATGTCCTTACTGCACGTACTCGGACAGATTTTGTTCGGCTTCTAAATTTTGTAAGTTCTTTGTTCTTCCTACACCTTTTTCTGCCAACCTGCGATTGTTATAGGACAAAATGAAGTCTGCCCTTTTTTGTGTTTCACCGATGATGTACTTCCTCTGGAGCATCCAATTTGTACAGTAGATGTTGGTTGATAAATGTGGGAAGCAGTAGCCCTCTTGGTGAAGTAAGTAGTTAAAACTAATGGATAACTTTTCTTGGTGAGAGATTTTCTCTCAGGGTAATGCGGTTTTGCTCTGTATGTCCTATGAAAATGGTCACTTAGTCTTCACAAAGAAGAGCTACCTTGTCAATCCAGATAAGGATGCAGTGCATTTCTACTTTAGTATGATGTGGACATAAAAGTATCACCGGTGGCTTTCATGCCTCTTTTTGTTAACTCAACAAGGGCCACACTCCTTGGCTCAAGAAACTTAAGATCTTCTTGCTGTTTTGGAGTCCTTGTCCTATGCAAACTACAACCTTTGAAGCCTGTGGGATATATCTTAACTTCGATTAATGGGCTATTGGTTGCATATTTTTATGATATCTTCCTTCTCACCTTCGTTTTCTTGACAGGCACAAGATGTTAATTATGCAATGGAGGCCTCAAGGAAATCTCACGACGCATTTACACATGCTAGTGCTAATCCAGAAGAATCTTACTATGGGCCTGATGGCATCACTTCTGTGAAAAGAGTTCTTGATTTCAGCTTCCATGACGTTGAAGGGTTGCTACACCTTGTACGGCTGTCCATGGATGCTATTAGCGAACCTTGCAAATCTGGAGAGAACGCAGTTCCTGTAAATAGATGATGTTTGGCTGCTCTCTCCCATACGTGGAGTACAGGGTGAGGAAGTCTGGAAGAGTCTGAGCTGCCTCTGCTTCTTATGCTGCGATGCTGGCTCTCTTCCTTTTTAGGAGGCTGATCACCATTTTTCCTGTATATAGTCTGTACAGGGTGATTGGCATAACATTTTTTTTATTCTTTTGGCCGCTGGCAGTTTTAGACGTGCATGGATGCTCAGTATTGATGCATCGATGAGGGCTCAGTATTGATGCATAAATCGAGCAGTCTTGACCGATTCTGTGATTAATGATTAGTTTATCGCTTGGATCCCTATGAGTCACTTGTACAGAAACGGGCGAAGCATCTGTCTGACTCGTGAGTTCATTTATATAACCCACATCACCTTTATTGTTCGTGCTTGGCGAAAATTGAACTTGCGGTACAGCTCTCTGAACCTAAAGCTTATATTGCCTTCATTTTTCTTTTCATGTTTCTTTAACACGTCCAGTGACTTTCATCTTGTTCGTCTGCGATTTGACCCACAGTATTTAGATATATACTGAGATAGATTTACCTCCATTTCGTTTGTGCTGTGCTGTAGGTTCTACCTGATTCGATCTTACAAAGGCCTGAAGATGAGCCACTTTTGACCTGAGAAGCTAATCCAAATCCACTCGGGGTCTTTTGAACAAAGTTTATTATGTAGATGATGAATGGGTTGAACAAGCTCCGAGCATAAAGTGAATGATTGAAGTTTTTTCTTTTCAGCTTTCATGGTGAAATAATCCAAATAAGGCTAGCTAGGTCAGTAGTAGAGCCTTCTAATTCTTTTTACTGGAATCTGCCTGGTAAAAACCCTGCCCTGGCTGGTTTCCTTTCCTCATTTAACCTGGGAGGAAAATAACTGTACATCCCCCTGTTTCCCACATAGAAATTTATACACAATCGGATATTATTTTTTGAGAATTCCACTTTGACTTATCCTCTTCCCCTAGATTTTCCTCATTGGAGGGAAACCTGTCAGATGAAGAACATGATATTGGTGACTTATCTATAAGTGTGTGTGGGTGTGTGTGTGTGGGCAAGTCTGTGCTTCTCTTTGAATCCAGTTCTTTCTACTTGGCATGGGCAAGCATATAGAATCAGTTATCTAATTCCCACGGTGCAATGCTTCGTTCCCATGGTGTGTTCATGAACTTGAAGGCTCTGGTTCTGCCCAGGACAGCAGAAAAATCTTCCTAGATGTGGGTGAGCATTTTCATTTCTCAGCGAGGGTATCTCTTATTTCATGCATGCCGTTGACTGATCTGATTTGTTCTTGTCGGTGGCTGACTTGGTGACATACAGAAACATGGGTTAAGAACTTTTATTTTTTCTTGTTATTGCTCGCAAGGTGTGGTTCCCAGGCCAGGGGTGTGGCTCACAAGCCTGTAATATACTTCTTGTTCAATCCACTAATACAACGCTCTACTCCTAACTTATCTATCAAGTGCTATATATATAATGGATCAATTTTATTAAATAATCATAAAATTTTCGTGTTTTAATTAATTTTCTTCCTCTTCCAATTACTTTATCACTTGTATAGACCAAATTCGATAAAAAATTCAACCATGAACTATACTCTTTTTATTATCTCCAGCTTTTATCTTTAGACGTCAAAGCTTACTCTAGACCAATTAAAAAACTACTTCTACTGTGATAAATGTTATATAACTAATTTTACTACCTCACTTACATGATTTATAGGAATTATTTTAGACACAAATCCATCTATCTAGAAAAATATCAATTCGTTTTTATCTATAGGCCCAATAAATGTTTGAAAGAAAATCTCAATAAAATCTCATTGTAAGCTGTCTAGAATTATTAGAACTAACTAATTCAATAACATTCATATATCCGTGTATTATGAAATTTTAAGCCTTGAAATGGGATGCTGGGTTGGTGTTAGCGATGAAAAAATTCTGCTTCTGTACATGGGAAAAAGTTTGCTTTATCAGGCCTATGACAATTAGTGTCACCACTTTGCTTTTATCAAAGAAACAACGCCCAAGCAAACTACAAATAATCTATAGTTTCTGCTATTGTATGATTTCAACTTTGAATGATTTAAAGACGATTTTATGCACGCCATGGAAAAACAATACTAGAAGAGTTGGCTTGTCCTTTGATAGAAAAACAGTACCTCTCTAAATAATTGATAGCATCTGCTAGCATATGATCTAGATTTCAATTATGAAAGATTTAGAGATAATTTTATGTACACCAAGGAAGAAGAATATACTAGAAGAGTTGCCTTTTTCTTTCGTCAAAAACATCACCTACCCAATTTCTAAACAATATATATCTTCTGCAATTATATGATGTAGATTCTAATTATGAAGGATTTATGAATGGTTTTATGTACGTAGTGGGAAAAAAATAATAGAAGAGTTGTCTCCTCCTTTCATAAAAAATAGCACCTAACCAATCTCTAAACAATGTATAACTTCTACTTTTACATGATGTTGATATCAATTAATAAGGATTTACATATGATTTATATATGCATTTGTACCCACACCAGCCAATTGCACTATATATTTTTAATATTTTTTTTATCTACATTTAATCAAACCCAAAAATTCCAAACAATCATATGCCCTAGACGTGGTGGTTCATACAGTATCAACATATATAAATAAATCTGCTTTTCTTTTGATTATTCTTGTCTTGCCAATTTGGGTACATGTAAATCTTAAGAGTAAAAAGCTGTGAAAATTTAAAGGACTTTCCCAAATATTAGCATAGAATACTGAGAATATATATTAAGATTCATTTAAATGTGCAAATACTTTCATATTATAAAGCTATCGTCTTAACCTCTAATACACAGCTTCATTGTGTCGAGGCTTATTCCTAGTAATCAAATTTATTCACTTTCTTTTAGCAATAATGATAGGAATCCAAGGTTGAAATGTAAAGAATGAGGAAAATAGGGTTCTAAGATAACACTAAAGGGGAGAAATTGGGTTTCAATAAGAATCCTAGCTTCAATTCATGATAACCTTTCAAGATGGCCACCGCTCTCCTCTACAAGTTGTTGCTTGACACAAAATCTAGTCCTCCCTTTCCCTCATTCTATCCTAACCGTAATAATCTCATTTTCTCTTGTGGGGACATTAACCTAATTACCCCTACTTAACCTTCACATGACCCACATGCCCTTTTACTCTTCCCTGGAGTAAGTTAATCCCATAGGGGGCCTAACATTTGAATTTTTCCTAGTAGGTATTGTCTCTTTTCCTAGGTGAGTGGACTCATTTAGTTCACATGGCTGCTTGGGAGTAAGTGAAGCACAAAACTTGCAAGTATCTCAACTAGAGAGTTTGCCATGTAATGAAATATGATCTAAACATCATAAAATTATTACTGTACCCTTACTAGTTATCTTTCTCATTGTGATTATAAATCACATTGACTTCCTTCTTAAAAACAGAAATATACACAATGGGGTACTCCAATTAGCTCCAAAATCACATGAGAGATTTTTAAGGGTTATACAAATATTTTTTGAATATTTTTATGAACTATCAAGTTAATTTTGGCATTGTAAAATAATTATTTTACCTTTCTACGTATTATGTCAACATCCTAGAATGTGTACAAAAGTTCCTTGGGTTGATCTACTAGTCCCCATGCCTCAACTCTCTAGAGCAGAAGTACGACACTAAGGGGTCTTGAGCAGTCTAAGTAGCATGCAGATCAACTCTTCTTTCAAGCAACGCTGCACTTGGTGAATTATCTTCTTTTCTGAAATCTAAGTCAACCTACTTGACAGAGAAAGTAAAGTGATCAGTATAAAGCAATTGAGTCAAATAGTGCATTCCATATTGGGAGGGATTTCAAGTTTTCTTTACAGGTAATCTTTTGAGAAATCATCCAAAGGTTTCTACCTTAAAATTTTATTCACTGTAAAAGTGCACTTACTTATTTGATGTTAGTGAATGGTGCGATGAACAGTTCCCTACATTAGACAATATAAGATGTGTGACGAGAAATGCAAATCTTTTCACTGACATGGGTTGTATGGACAGCAGGGACAGCTGTGACCAAACATGGGTTGTATGGACCCTACGCACATATTTTTATGAAAGATAATGCAACTAAAAGGGCGGGGGAGAAAAAATGTCTAATCAAAGAGACCATATCAGCTTACATCCCCACGACAGACAGATCACACACATTTTCAACACAGAGCCATAGACAAGATCTGACTTCATACTGAGAATTCATGCGTATGTACACCATTGTAGAGTATAATCATTCAGGTCACCAATCATGTTTAGCAGTGAGATCCATGCGGGTGGAATATCGGGCTTACACCAATATAGAGGACATGAGCCTGGATATTTCTTAGTACCCAACAAAGTTTGGAGAGAATTCGATTTCAGGGTGAGAATTACCGTGGGAGAATCCGAGTTTATACCCACTCACAGAGGGTATAGAACATATTTATTATTCAATTCATCAAATCGGGTGTACCAACATTAGCATATATATTCACAAGATAACGCAAATGAGAGGGAAGTGGAGTGAGAAGCCATGGCAGCTGGTGCAGGTCTCCAGGAGGGAGAGCTGCATACCTCGGTGTTTCAGGGGAGAATGTACAAAAGGAAAGCACTTGAACAAGAACCCGGCAGAGCAGGTCTGGCACCCAATTACCTTCTGCCGGGGTAGACTTCACTGATTCGGTGGCATTCAGGCAGAGAAAGTGGCGGTAAGTGGCGGCTGACCCATCTCTGCCGGCGGCGGGCAGAGAAATCAGGCCAGGTATCTAAATGTGTTGGGGTTATCCTTGTCCCTCTCCAGATAGTCTCTGGTGATCAGGTCCTCAATGCGTTTCTTGATGGCCTTAAAGTCGGGCTGCATGTTTGGACACAGTTAGAGAAAGCAGCTACCACCAGCTAGGGAGTCACAGAATGGCTGAGAGGGTAGATAAGATTGCTATTTTATGAAGTGGGAAGAAATGAATAAAGATATTCATGAGAGCAATAATGGTACAAACTGGGACTGCTCACATTATCTCATCCCCTTTCTTCCCTAAATATCAACCATTGAATAAAGAAAAGGCACAGAGATATGGTTGACCAAAAGCACAAAAGAATACACAGCATTAAAAAATAAAGAGGGATCTAAATCTGGGTGTCTAAATCTGCTGCTGAGACAGCGAAGAACCACACAAACTAGGATGCCATTCACCGGATATAAAATGGATGGTGGAAGAATGTATGTGATTACCTTGAACATGCGGCCAAGCTGCTCAACACATTCGGTGACTAACTGATGGTGGCCCAAGACTTTACGACTTTTCATGATTCTCACGATCGAGGCATCAATAGCATACCGCCTGTCCTTGTCAACATCTTCAATAACCTTCTTCTTTTCATCCACGGGGGGGAGAGGAATCTGCAAGGCATGCTTCAGCTCCAATGAAATAACCCATAAGAGAACCCACAAAGGAAGGGGAAAAAAACAGCGGGGAGTAGGCAAGTTCGCACCTTAATCTTCCTCGATGTGTTTGTGAACTTCGAATTAAACTCGAACGTGTCGGTTGGACTGATCGTTTTGTTGTTTGGTTCTTTATTGAGAATTTTGTATTTGGCGCAGGAAAGAGAATGGAGCAATCGGACTATATCTTCATCAGTCAAGTTTAACTGACTCATAATCTCAGAATAACTCAACCTATCTGATGCATTAAAAAGCAACAGGACAGAGGCCTGGACACAGAAAAAAATAAATAAAAACCATCATAGAATCCATAATAATCTTTACCCAAAAATCTTGACAGCAACTCCCGTGAAGTAGAGCAAAATGTAACAGTAAGTACCTGATATGTAGTGACAATTAACTCGATGGTTTTGGCTTCAAATTTGCCATTGACATGACCCATACCCAGGGAGTATATCCATGTCAACTTTCTATGTTTCGTTTTTGTCTGATAAAACTCCTTGAAGACCTCAACACAATGCACCTAAAACCAATTGTCCGTGGACATCAAAAGCATGAGAATAATACATACAAAATAAATGCATATATCATTAACTACAATGATAAATAAATAGAAATGAGTTATCACCATCTCAGCAGGAAGATTAAGATCGAAGGACTTATAACTCGGCCAGAATCCAGTCGTCAGTACATTGACGGCTAAATCAATTCCAGGATTTACTTGTGGATTATTGCTAAGATATTCCTCGAATTGTGCCTGATTTTCCCTTGCCAAAGTCAAATCAGTCACCTATGAACATAAGAAAAATATCAATATCAGAAGATGAATAAGCATCCATCACCAATATGAATGGGAAAATATCACCAGATCCACGAGGGCTTAGGCTTGGATAAAAATATACCATGCCCTCCATCTTGGAGGTGAATTGGCCACCACACTGTTGCTTGAGCTTCGTCAAAATACATCTCTCGTGGTCATCATTGGCACTCTTATAAAAAATAAGCCTCCGAGCAAGCTTCTTTCTACAGAAGCATCACATGATAGATTTATCAAGTCAAGGAGAAACCAGAAATTACGACTGCTGCTCATGACAACAAGATATTCACCTGTAGAATTCAGCAAAAAGATCTTTGTCGCTGATATATGCCAACAACTTTACTACCTGTATATTAAAAGAAAAGGAGAACGTTTCGTTAAATACCAAACTCGTTGGGCTTGGGGACACTACTTCGCTATTTCACATATGATAAATCTTCTTTATATTCGACATGTCTGATTTCATATCTTTCTTCATTTCATCCATCAAAGTTCTCAATTAGTACTCATTATAGTGTAGTCAAGGTCCTAAGCCACATAAATTATGACAATATGCATTAATGTTCTCATGTTAGTCTTCTTTGCTAGAACTGATGCCATCTGATAACCTGTAAACCTCTCTCCAATCTAGATATTAGCCAATCTCTTCTCCTCCCACACATCCACTAGGGAACTATTATATTATCTATGCTGATAATCTACGGCGAGATGAGAACTTGAAAAATAGGCAAATAACAATAAGAAAAGGGCCACAAGGAACTTGCAACTTGAAAAAAAGGAGAAAATACGACGAACACTAGCAACCTTTTCAAGTGTTTCCTCAATTGCTTCGTCACTCATTTTCTCATTTCCACGCTTTTTAAGGATACTATCACAGAAAGTCGCCAGGAGCTCAGCACTTGAGCTACCAGAGACTCCCTTGTTGCAGAATATTTCAAAAGCCTCTTTGAGTGCCTTCAAAGATAACGAAGACCATATAAAAATAATAATAATAATAACTTCAAAACAACGGATTAAAATACTTCAGTGCAAACCTTGTGGAAGAGAGAGTGACTCTGAAAGCAGTCGTTAACATATGTGATGTACTTATCATGAAGCTCAATCACTTTTCTGACAAAAACCTGAATAAGGAACAACCAATCAATGAAAAGGAGCATCAAAGCATATATAAGTCTAAACACCACAAGACTTACCTGCTCATGCAAGCCTACAGTATCCCTTTTCTCTACCTATGAAGAAGAAAAAGTTAATAGCTCATTACAAATGGATGGTACAAAGCTGCTTTAAAGATGCATATGACCGTACAGACAAGGTGAGAGAAGGCTACAAAACCACAACACAATGCACAAGCACTCGCAATAAGTACACTGTCAATCACCTTAACGACTACAGTGCCTCTGTCTTCTACTTAGTAGCAAAGCAGCACTAATTAACCACCATCAAAACGAAACATGATAATGGGTCCCCATTTCCGCACATTCTAAAAAGGTTACAACTTAGTAGCATAAATTTGGAGATATAAGCCATGAAGAAAACAATTTATAGTTCAAAACAATTATGATTCTTTAGTATCTACTCAAGTTCACATTACTCAATGGGCATTAACTGAGTGAGCATTTACAGTGGCCACTTGATCTGAACAAAGAAAAGCAGAATAATAACTCAGGAGTCTCCCTTTCGACTTATTTCCGATATGTGTAAAGAGGAGATAGAAATTGCTGAACCTCAAGATAACAACTAATAAAAAACCACTGTACAATCTAGTTCATTTTTTTTCCTTTACACAAATTCACCTCACAAGACCAGCTCATCTTATCTGCCTGTGCACCTCAAGTTCTGGAAAGACACCAGATACATCCTCCATCAAAATCAAAGTTTGGAACCAATGATTTTCGAGTAAAGAAATATAGTTCCAATGATTCTCGTAAATAATGCTCCATAGTTTTTAGTACCACAACTTGTGACAAAGGAATGTATAACTTGCTTTGGTTAAGCAAAGTTTATCATAAGCAAAAGATTACTCAAAAGCATAATTTTTGAGATAACCTTCCAAGGCATTCACGTTTTATACCTGATCTCCATTTAGGAATTATATCAAAAGAATCCCCCTAAGCAAGCTATCCCAATTCAGCTTGCAAGAGACATCGTTTAAAAAAAAGAAGCCCTTCAGTATGATTCAAAATATGATCGCTAACCAAGTAACAGATGTGTGCAACTATTCGTCCAATTCAAATGTTCATGAAGAGAGCCACCACTTATCACAATCTATTTTTGCTATTAATCAAAAAGGAAACTTATTAAGGTAATGGACGACTTTTTGAAGAGAAAAGTCATCATTGCAACAATTATGAAAGTAATCTTCAAATTCTCTGGTATCATTGAAGCTTAAATATTAACTGGCACTGCAATGAAAAAGAATCAAGCTCAAACATTGAGCAGAATCATCATTTTTTGGTTATGGGGCAAAGTTGATCGAAAACCTTCATATGGGTTCCCTAGTGGAATTCTTTTCTTGGGAGACGTTGCATGTACAAAACCTACGGTTCATTGGTTCTACTTTAAAGAAATTTTATTCCCAACTAAATTTTTTACAATCCAGTCACCTTTTGCAGCGGTTTGATAATGGTTAGAACTATATAGTCTGGTTTATCCAGATTTATGCAAGCCATGAGAGGCCTGATTAGGGATATCCCAAGGTAAAGTCACTTAACATATTTGGCTATAAGGTCGAATGGTGGGACACCATCCTGACGACGAGTATCAAAGTCGTATAAAATATCAAAGGGTGTTATCACTATCAAAGTTGTTTAAAATAGAATCCGGAACCAAAACTAGGTTAACCAAGTTACCCCCCTGACTGGATATGAAACCAGCCCTTAGTGTACAGACCAAGTCACTAATAATTCCAGCATCCTAGACAGTAATTTACTTGGAATTGATATACACGCACCTTGTTACTTGCTGCATCTTCTGCATGTTTGACCAATGCCATACCTTCACCAGTGACATGCTGCAACATGAACCATCAAAAAAACGAAATCACAACATTATTGATTGAATAGGGTTACCAGATTTAAGTGTTACTAAAACACCGCTAGGAATGGAGTAGCATCATACTTGTTTAAAAATTTGAGAAACAGGGTCCAAGCCACGAGGTATTCTGCAAAATAACCTGAACATCCGAGAAAGATCATCCACCTGACAAAACAAGGGAAGAAAAAGGAGCTACCCGCATGAGACATGCATAGCTTTTCCAATACAATGATCTAGAAACATGATGAACATCAATTGGTGCACTTAACTGTACCTTATCATCTCTCAGCAAAGCATGGCATCCCGAATGTTCCTTTTCAAGCAGCTGGCTGGCATACACAAAAAGTAGCTCGTGCTGTACTCTCTGCAAAGATGACAAAATCCAAAGAGCATCACTGCATCGGAAGTTTTGATATCAGCATAAATTAAGAATAAGAGGAACTCTTGAGCCTCAGATACTAAAGAAAAACGAGAAAATAAAACAGTTCTAAAAAAATGGGGCATGAAAATGACCTCCAACAGCTTCTGCTCGCTACTAGAGTGCAGATAATGAGAGACCCTATCTTTCTCCCTTCTCAAGTATTCCTCAGCCTGAAGTAGATACAAACAACCAGCAACTGAGAGTGCACAAAACAACAAATATAACCAAAAGTAAAATAAATATACCTTTAGCATGTACTCTGGACAGGAATCCTCCATAATCCATCTTGTCGCTTTTCTTGAATAATAAGAAGCAGTATCGTCAAGCATTGCTGCTTCAAAGTCATTTTCATAACAATCCATTTGTCCCAATCCAATTTCAACAAATATATCCAGCACATTCTTCAGTAAAGCACGATCGATTTGTTCACCCTCACGTTCTCGGTCAATCTGATTCAGAAATCAGTCTGAGAACAAATAAAACCAGGTTGCTGAAATACACAAGATTTTTCAAAGCATACCAATGATATAACAGCATCTCTAGCTTTTCCCCTCATTTCTTGGTATATCTGAAAGTGTTGAAGAACGTATAACTTTAACAAAGTAGGAGAAAAGGCTTAAACAAAGAAACAAGCGTTAAATAAGCACATCATTTCTAAAAGATGAAAAATATTGACGCACCAAGTCACGGAAGCACGTGAGCCCAACTTCATTGAGAGGAGGAAGTGATCTTCGAACAATAAAATAGCGATCTAGATAATAAAAGAACCGAGAAAGCCATCTGACCATGACTTTATGATTTTCCCACCTTTTCACAAGTTCTCTCAGCATGAACTCATCATGTTTCTCTCTTAGTGATGGCATCACCTGAAGAGTTAGAGAATCGTTTAAAGTTCTCTCAAGAATGGTAACTGATTGAGAAGAAACGAACAAAAGTTACAAATGATACCAGAGAGTAAAAGACAAACAGTAGTGATTTCAGGTTGGTCAATGCGTAAAGCATCCATCCCAAAAAAATTCTTCCCCTAATTTTCACTAGTCTTTGACTTTCATCCCTTAATTTTAACAATATGTAAAACGATCCCATTTACAATAAAAGCCACAAACTTTTTCTTTCTAGTCATTGAAATCAGTAATTGATCATGTGATTTTGACCAAACCCTAATCACAGTAATGTCTACTAGACATTATCAAATACCCTGTCTCTAAGAAAACTGTTGCTAACTCGAGTCAGACTACCAACACCCAAGGTGGATATGTTTCACTAAATGATAATGTAACATTTCCAACTGATATATCTTATAATTCAATAAAATAACTGATGATTGTGATCCAGTTAAAGAAGAAACCACATTCCCAATAAAAAAATAAAAAGCCCAAACTCAACAAACGTAGATTAAATTAAGTCGCCTTATGCACCAAAAGAAAGAAACTATCATCATCATCACTGGATGTAAACAACAAAAGATAACTGAAGGATTTCACAGGTGCAAATGCATCAGGTCACGATACTTGAAAGCCGTCTGCAAGTGCAGACAAAGGCACATGTAGTTCAACGGAAGAGGAATACAACGTTCATGGTCTCTTCTTACCATCGATGTGATGTATTCTTCAAATGCCTCCCGGTACTTGTCATAGAGCTGTTGTGAATAGTCATGAGGCGGTTTCTGAGTGCACATGTTGTATATTGTCCTAAGGAACATGTAAAATCATATCAGCCAAAGTACCAAAAACAGACGCACGAAAAAACAAGGAAAGAAAAACCAGGGGAAAAGCCCATACGTGTAGAGCATAATGCGGTCCTCTGGACCGAACTGAGTCTCGGGGCGTCCCTCTAATATGTTCTTCAACTTCGTGATACCTTTCTGCATGAACTCCCATCCTTGCTCCAAGTCTATCGTCTTCCTCTCGTTCAGAGCCATCCTTGCCCTTTAAATCCTCTCAAATCCCCTACAAATTCCTTCCAAGCGTGAAAACAGAAACAACTTGACTGACCCTAAATCACGAAACGTACAATTCACCACACACTGGTAACCCTAATCGCCGCCAAATTCCCTCTAAAGAAATCAGGTGCGCCAGAATAGGCATCCCAGACACGAAAACCATTCCTTACGCCGGACTGAAAAGTGGAAACCCCGTACGATTTGCCGGACGGCGGCTTTAACGCGCTGAACCCAGTAACAACGATAAAACGCGGATGAGGAAAAAATGGCCGGAGATTTTTCAAAATCATATTCAACATTTGCCCCGAAACCTGAGAAATGCCAGAAAACCTACCAGATTATATTATGACGGGAAAAATAAAGCGAGCCAGAACGACGGCAATGACATTACGGCCCGAGCTCACGGCGTGGAAAGAAACGAAAAGGAACAGGATAATACAATGGGGAAGAAGGAAGAACAATCCACCCCAAGAAGCAAGCAAAGAAGCGGGGAAATCCTACGGCAACAAAGAAACGGAAGACCCCCAAAAGAAGACGGAAGCCAATGCTCTGTACCTGATCAGAACTCGCGAGCCGCCCTCGACATGGAGAGGACCGAAGAAAAAGCACGGAAAGGGGGGACAACGGAGCTTGAGAACAGAGACGACGGCACCCGGTTTTGAAAATATCCTCAACATTCAATTTATTTGCAAAATCACCCTCTTATATTAAAATTGCGGTTTGATGTATCCATAATCTGATGCTAATCTTGGTTCTAATTTCTTTTATAAGCGAATATTTGTCAAAATAAGTTAATCTAATGGGAACGTCAACAAGTACCATGTTTCATGAATCATCAACGTGGTGTATTTTAATCCCTCTGTAACTTTATAAATATGGTTTCCTCTATGGAACACCACTAATTATTTAGGACATGATTGAAGAAATAAAATTATGGGTAAATGTGAACACTTTAGATCCCATTAAAGTTCTGATTACATCCAAGAGTCAACGCTTAATTTTTTCAAGAAGTCAACCCATGTTCAATAGATCGCCAAAATTGCATAACATATTAAACTACGACCTTGTATATTATCTATTGCATTCCAGTTGAAAGAAAATTTGAAAAACATAGCTTCCTAAGAGTACATTTAGATTAAATTCCTCTTGTTAGATGATAGGAAGGAAAGAGTCCACCGACATGTTAACAAAGGTAGTTTATGTAATGAGATAAAAATCCCAAGCATACAAAGATCCTCAGATCCATTGACTTTTTGTGACTTACTTGAGTGATGTGTGCCTCATCATTATTATATTTTTTTTATGTAGGTTTTGATAAATGTTCTAATGTTCCAAAGATTCAATCAAAACATACATAAACTTATTGAGGATTAGTCATAGAGTCAATTATAGTGTGAAGTCAAATATTAATATGTATTATTGTATTTGTTAAATCCCTTGTATTATATGCATTTTATATTATTTGATTATAAACACATTGATGAATTAATCCCTACATTTTTATCCCTTTTAATAAAATATTAAAGGGAAGAAATAATGCAGAATTGACTAAAAAAAATGAGTTGATGTAGATACAATTTTTAGACCACATGCAATGACTTAAAATAAGCTGATGTTAAGCAAATATATGAATGGCACACTTTTTAGTGAAGATAAAGAATGGCACACCTTGATTCTTGACATCTAAGGAATTCCATTTTTTCCTTAAATTCTATAATTATATTTTTTCCCCATAAACTCATTTATAAGAAATAGAATTTCATACTACTTTTGGAATTCGACTTTCATTGGCTCTCATAGTAATCTTAGGATGCATTTTCTACTTTGTTGGGTTATAGCTCTCATTTATCGATATGGGTTTTCATGAAGAGATTTCTTTTCTATTTTCAGTTCAATGAAGATGATTGAGAAATAAAGTCACCCAAGTCATGTAATTTGAAGATTATGACAACATGACAAAAACAATAGTAATTATTATTATTATTATTATTATTGAAAGACACTAATGAAGAATTGATGCAAGGCAAACTTAGAAAAGTTCAATGTATCATTAAATTTAACAAAAAAATAGTTTATTTGGGACGTCTCCTAGCTACTTGAAGATACATGAGCTTTAGATTCATATGCATTCATATGTACAAATAGTACACATAATTAATTGCATCATCAAATTCTTTAAAATGGCAAAGCATCAGACCCCTTTCTCGAAGTAAGCTTGAGTTTGATGGACATCTCATAATGCATATTTTATGAATGAATCAAGTTTTTAGGGAAGAATAAAGTTCTTTACATCAAATTAATGTCTCAGACTAATGCAAAAACTCAACATCCCTATTATGTATTGACTTTTCTTTTTCAAAATTATAACATTGAATAAGATCCAAAACATAACTATATTCTCCTAATATTTAAGGTTATTTGAATGACTAGATGATTAGAGCTTCATCCTTTTTGCCACAGTAAAAGGGATTTCCCTATCCCCCCTCATCCCTCTTTCTCTCTCTCACTTGCTCACGTGCTCTTATTCTATCTTTCAAGGTGGGGCTGAGTATGCTTCCACTAGGTTCATGGCTGTTGGAGAATACATGAAAAAATGAACACAAAAATTTACCATGACATGAATTCATCCTCTCTCTCTCTCTCTCTCTCTCTCTATATATATATATATATATATATACTCAACTCTCTTGACTTTTACTATATACTTCATTAGTTTTATTAAGTCATTTCCTCTCTTAACCTATTGAATAAAGAACAAATGTACCCCTCCTTGGCTACATAAAGGACAATGAAGTCTTAAGACTCTATGATGACACTCCTTTACTAGGAAGAAAACCAAGTGTTCCACATAGTCTCCCTCCTCCCCTTCTCCCCTTCTCCCCATCTATCAAATATGTAGTAGTTGATATAAATAACACAAAATTACTGAATCATTTGTGAAACATTATCATTACATTGATATATTTTAATTTTAAATTAATTAATGTAAACTTTTATAAAAAAGATCTTGGGGGGGTGTCTTATTTTTTATACTAGTTGACTAAACACATTATTGGTGCCATCAAGGCATTGAAGACCTAGAATAATGCAATTATTTTCTGCCTATGAAATGTATATGGAGTTGGACATCATATAATATATTATAATCATGAAAAATAGCTATCATAAGAAAAATATTTTATGCATCTCTTCACTAAATAGTAAATTTGTGGACAAGAGTATTATTATTATTATCATTATTATTCAATTAAAGCTGATTTTAGCAGAAGAAAACTAGACAGAATTTAGGGCCAGCCTTCAAGATTAGGCTATGATTTTGGCATTTATATTTAATAGTTTTATTTATTAAAAGGAGATATTTATGAGAAGTTGAGATATTGGTTGGAGGTTTAATTGATGTGACAAGTTTGTGCGCCGACTGTGCGCCGGGATCCGAATCAATTTTGGTACGGAGACGCGGGTCCCTGAAACGTGGACCCGCTACGTTAGATTAAAAGATTACGCGAGGGTAGGCCCCCCTCCCCGCACTGTGGCAGCTCTCTCTGTCTCTCCATCTCTCTCTCTCTCTCTCCACCAGTCTCTCACCTGGATTTCAGATCCCTCCGTCGTTCTCCTCCCCTTCCTCTCCTCTTCTGGGCTCTCGCTCACTTTCGGCCTCCGCGATGGCAGTGAATGCGAGCTCAGGGCTCGCCTACCCCGAGAAGTTTACGGCGGCCGCGGCGTACGTGGGATTTGGAGGATCTCAGAATTCCTCCTCCATCGGAGCGATCTCCAGATTCCCCAATGACGTTGCCCTGTTACTTTACGGCTTGTATCAGCAGGTGCACTGCCTACCGCTTCCTGTGGCTTTGCATTCCCTTAATCTAACTTCTTTTTGCGCTTTCGCGGCATTTGCGTCTTCTTGTTTTCGACGTGGTCTCTGTGTATTCGAACCACACCTGTCGGGATCTGGTATTCTGGAGATCATGGAACGGTTGGCGGTCCAAAATTTTAATTTTCGAAAGTTTTGTGCCTCGTTCTTGCCTGACTTACTGTAGCAGATCTGCTTTGGGTCGTGATTAGTTCATTGATTCGGTGAACTTTGCTTCGTTTCTTCCTTCCTTTTCAATTCGAGCTGAGGATTTTGTTTCTGAAAACCTTCACAACCTTTTCTTCGCGTGTAATAATGATCGTCCTTGTTGAAATTCTACGAGAGTACGAAAATAAAGCTGTTAAGGAGTTTGAGTAGCTTGAAATGCTCTGCATCTCTACCTGATTGTAGGCGACTGTCGGGCCTTGCAATGTCCCGAAACCGCGAGCCTGGAATGCTGTGGAACATGGAAAATGGACCAGGTTCTGATTCAGTTTCTCCTTCTTGAGATGATGCTAAAGCAGTGGTGTCAATGAGTTCTTATTTTCAATTATTGAAAATCAGTACCAGAAGATACAACACTATCACCACGTTTGCTAGACCTTTAGGGGTCAATGCTTGGAAATCGAAACATTGGTTGTGGTAGCATGTGCTTAAAATGCATGACCTATTGACTTGTCTTGTTCCTTTATTCTTTCTATCAACTATACCCATATCCCTAGCCATCATTTAGAAATGAGTTATTAGTTCATCCCATTGAGTGTCATTTAGTCTTGCATTTGGTATAAATGCTAACTGGGATGCTACACAATTGAATTATGAAAAACGTAAAATCTTTTATACAATTGGATTTCTGTGTAAGTATTATGTCTCTTCGTATGTATGTGCAAATGTTTTAGTCATGCCTAGAATCTAATGGGCTCATTACCTCTTCAAATCGGAACACATGTCTAAACGCAACTAGGGGTCTCTACAGTGAATCATTTTAACACATATCAGCTACTGATCGTCAGCACGGAAATCACCAACAAATATATACTGAGATATAAGTTTTTTATTTCATAGTTCGTAGATGACACTCTAGTTTCTTTTACTTTCCTTGAATTGCCCATGAGCTTATACTCCAGAGGTATAACTATCCGGATTTTTATTATAGAGAAACAGTCTGGTATCTTTTGTGTTGGTATTTTTGTTTGGAAATAGCTAAATTTCGAGTTGGGGCATAACGAACATCACTAGACCATTTGAGGATGAAAGTGCATGAAATCATGTTCCCACTCCTGAAACTGGTTTCTTGTTTTCTTACCTGTTTTATTCAATTTCACCAGTTACTGTTTATTGATCTTGTAATGAAAAAATAATATTTTTCCTCAATCGCACATCTTTTGGAAATAAAAAAAAACTATAGACTCAGCTTTATTTTGTTTCATTCTTTCTCGTGATATTTTTTGAGCCAGTTCTAATGAAATGAAAATCATTTACTACTGCGTGAAAATTTTTCGATCTTCCTTTCTCATTCATTTTGTAAGAGGTCTCTAATGAGAACCAAAGAAGCCAAGGCCTTTATAAGAGGTAATGTTGCTGGGAAAATAATATTATGTATTGTCTATAAATTTTCGCTTCAAAGAGGTAGTGCGTAGATTTCTTTTAGGTCCTTTTATTGCAGTGTGGAAGGTCATGAAACTCTGTTTCCAAGTACTGGAGAGGGGGAAGCAGGTCACTCAGAGGGAGCTGTTTTATAGGCTTTCGTGAGAGTCTCCTGATTATTTTACTTCTCAAGCTCAAGTGAACATGGCTGTTCAAGGTCAAATAAATTAAAGCCTTAATCTCGTTTCTTTTGGTTAAGCTGAAAGATTAGGTGAGAATCCTCTTTAATGAGTAAGGTGGCGGTTCTTGTGTCTGTTGTTCCTTTCGGTCGTCACCTTAATGCAGGTTACTATTCTTTTACAGGGTCTTGATGGCTGACTTTAGAAATACTTGCACCCCCCGTTTCCTTACTTTTGATACTCCTTGAACATATGGCACTGATAACCATGTTGATAGTCACAGCTCTCCAACTTAGAAAAAGAAAATGAAGTCTTTCTTTTTTTTTCTAGGTATGCCTCTGATGACCTCGTTGAATACTATTATTTGGCCAATTGATGATTGAAACTTCAAAGATGAAATACCATACTCATACACTTGGTGAGGTGAGGTATTAATCCTTGTCTCAAGGATAAAACGTTTAAAGGATTCATCATGTGCCCCTAACATATCTACCACAGGCAAACCTACCGCTGGAACCCCTCTACCTCCCCAGTGAAACCCTTGTCAAAGAAAAGAAAGTGGTGACCTGGGACAGATCAATACCATCTGGTTCAACATGAATGCATAAGATGTTTTGCCAGATCAGAAATGTTGCCCATGCATGACTCACTCATTGAAACGTTTTAAATGCAAGAGTTGAAGGGTTATGGGGCACATGATTTTTTCCCCTAGGAATGACTCCAATGAATCATAATTTCTCTATAGAATTCCCAAAAGTTTTTCCACCCTCTGACAGGAGAGTTTAATACAACCCTAGAGATTGATACACAATTGAAAGTGGTCCTACAGTATGTTTGCTGTACGTTCTACATTGATGATCAGGTGATCCTATTTTACCATCTATTGGTAGGTCACCTCTGCTGAAAGCAGGTACACTTGTATTGGCACAAGTCGGTGGAAATGTTGCAATCATTTGGCAGAATAGTAACGTGGGTGAAGGAAGAGGAATACATGGCAACCATACTCAATGTATCTCTAACCACAATGACTCTATAGAAGTTTAAATGTACCACCTCTTAATATTTTGTGGTTGATGGCACATTGACTGTAGCAATGCTTTAGGCCATTTGGTGGCAAGTTTCAGAAGAAGAGAATGCTGTCATAGGCCACTGTTTACAATTATAATAATGGAACTACTGAAAATAAATTATTTTTTGATTACTGTAGGTTACATGTATGGTGGATGGATTATATTGTTTAAACAAGCAACAATTTTAGCCTGTTTCAAAACAGGTTTCAAGTATAAGTTGCCTCAAAAATAAAAATTGGTCCATTGGAAGTTTAATGAAAATATGCTACATGCTTGATGAGGAACAGAGTTGTAGGAAACGAAGTACTGCAAAAGGCACAACCGAAAATGTGAAAATGGTGAAACAAAAAGAGTCTGATAGTGTTGTTCGGTAGGTCTATTAGACTGAAATGTGTTTTCTTGTTGTAGACTAGTAATTACTTTGTTTTATAAGAAATTATTAACTACTAGAGAACTACTTGCCTGATCTTATTGTTGAAGAGATTTATCACTATGTCCTACTTAAAGAGTCGCAGTATAGACCAAGATGGCTTTTTTCAACCAAGAAAAAGTTTTTGCACCCACTCTGTACCTGTGGATTCAATCAATCCCTTCTTGATTCAGGAGATGTTTATTTCTCATTTCTGATGGATTTAAAGATCAACTGCTATCTATTCAAGAGTCCATTTTTCAATCCTTATGGATTCAAGGGTCACCTAAATTAATCATTGTGGATCCAAGGATTGTATATCTTATTTTTTGTAGATCCAGGGTACGATTTTCATTCTTCTCTGACTTCCACTGCGTCAATTTTGGTAACAGAATTCAAGATGGTATTTTTTTTTTTGCAAAAGAAGACTGTTGATCGTCTATTTGTGTCCTATGATGTGTGGTCGAAGGTTATTTAATATGTAGTTGATTTTCGTGTCAAAATATTGAGATATCACTGAACTGCTGCAGAATTAGCATTTTGCAGATTCTGTAGCTCCTGTCTCTGTTGGTTGAAGATTCATTTACCAACCATCTTGTTGGTTATTCGGAGGGAAAGAAGTAACCGAAAAATTCGAAGGAATCCAAAAATATACAAAACATGATGAACATGGCTGTATTGTATGTATCCAATAGGTGTCCAATGTATTGTATTGTATCAAATCATGCCTGCTGAGTTATATCAAGAATAGGAAAACTATGTTTTTCTACTATCTTTTGAGATGAAGTGAGGAAATTGTTGTTATTTCTACATTAATGTGTTATTTTTGTTTCTGTTTTATCTTCTGCTCTTTGTTTCCTACCCACACTTTATTTTCTGGTTGCTGTTAACAATTGATATTTCCATGAATCAGATCTAGAAATACTGTTGGCCAGCTTTCATCTTGTTTCTTTTAAACTCTGGAATGCTATTTATTTTCAATGTTTTTTGGCAAATTGCTTGAGTAGTCTATACAGTTTTCTTTTATTTATCAATTTAAGAAACCTGTACCATCTGCTTTCTGAGTGAATCTGTAGTTTGTAACAGTTTATAAACCCATACTGTAGTTATTGCTTATAGATGATATATGTTTATGTGCTAGTTGTAACATATGATTCTTTTGGAATTTCATTTACGACGTGAGATTTTGTACATAATTATCTAGCCTTTAAATAAAATTCATTATTACAGTTGGGATGGGCTTGGAAACTTGGCTTCAACTGAGGCTATGCGCCTTTTTGTGAAAATTTTAGAGGTAAGGCTAATATAAGCTTGGGTTTACTTAAGGTATGACTGCAAGCACACTCCTCATCACATGAATTGTGTCTTTAGGAAGAAGATCCTGCATGGTATTCAAGGACGCCCGAATTGGTCGAGGGTCCTATTGTAGACGTGGAAATGAATGTGAGTTCCTCCAATCTTTTGGTTAATAGGTTTCATGGAGAAATTCTTTTCAGTGGGATTTCATTTTTGACTGAAAAAACATACACTGCGAATCAGTATTTTTTTTGCTATTTCTGCCGTCCACTATAACTTTTATCAGAAAATTTTGACATGGTGTTTGTAGGATAACGCTCATGATAGAAATGTTGCATGGTAAAACTATCCTTCAGTTATTCTTTTTGTTATTTGTACTTTCATAGGCAGCAGCTTGAACAAGGTGCAAGGTTGGAAGATATGATGATTGAATGTGATGGAATAAAATATTATAATGACATGAAAATTGCAATCAGCAGAGGTTTTTTATTAGGATAGGGATACTTGATGATCATCTTTTTTTGGGTGATAAAACCTATAGCTTAGAACCCTGGCGTTATAAAGCTCACTGTTAGAAAGCTAAAATTTTGAAGCTAAAATGCATTACTTTATCTTAGTCAACTAATTGATAGTATGAAGGTTCTGGGAAATTATTGGTTAAACTTGAGGCCAGGTATGGAGCTTGTTGCAGCTGCAATTGATTGTGGACCTGGCAGAATTGCTTGGGATTGACTATCTAGTTTTCTGGATTGAAAATTTGAAAGGTATCATCATTAATCTCAAATTTATGAAATTCTGTCTCTTTAAAAACTCATGGTTGCATCTTTCCTTCTCTAATAAAGAAGTCTGTTTGATTATATAATCCTTGGCAATGCTGATCATTTCTACAATGAAGTGAAAGATCTTATAAATGGTATGTGGGCGTGGTTGGAGTGGCTTTTCTTCTTTCTAAAATACATTTGAAATTATCACATGCGTGCCAGATTTTTCTTTTTCTTCCTTTTCTCTAATTTTCTTTCCTCACAGAAGCCAAACCTGGACTCCGCCTCCCCAGATGGAAACTCTCATCCAGAACCAATATCTATAATTGCAGAAAGCAGAAATATGTTGGAAACTCAAGATAAAGATGTCATATTGGAGGGGCTAGCTGCAGTGAGTATTTATGATCAGTGGATTGGACCTTCTGTATCTGGAAAATACCCAAAACCAAGATATAAGGTATTTACCAAGTTGTCTTTCTTGTTATCCAATAATTTTATCTTTATTGTTAGTTTCTGGCCCTAAATGTTTCAATCTTAACAGCACGGGGCAGCCATAGTGCAGGATAAAATGTATGTATTTGGAGGAAACCACAATGGACGTTACCTTAATGATCTTCAGGTGTGTCATGTTGGTTGTCTATGTCTTTGTGAAACTTTTTAGTATAAATGAAAAGCTATAATTAGATCATGTCGCTGGAGATTGGGCACTTGCCTGACCGTATTTCTTTTGATTCACTGAAGGTTCTGGACTTAAAAAATTTGACGTGGACAAAAGTAGAGGCTAAATCAGCTGTGGAAGATTCAAATTTGTCTAACACAGCATTTCCAGTTTCATGTGCCGGTCATTCCCTGGTAAGCATATAAACCTTTCTTGACCACCTAGATATCTCGAAATGAAACTGGATTCACTGTACCAATACTGGATTCATGTGCTGGCTATAACTTTTTCTTTCATTTTTAGGTATCATGGGAAAATAAGATTCTTTTGGTGGCTGGCCACTTGAAAAATCCTTCAGAATATGTTACTGGTGGGAATGATTATAGTCATATATTCCTGTGAAGTTTGTGCAGATTTGTCACTAAGAAAAATAATCCTCTTTGTCTTTCTTGGTGTTTTTTTTAATGATAGTGAGGGAGTTTGATCCACAGACCCTCCAATGGTCAAAGTTGAATACTCATGGGAAGGCGCCGGTACTTCCATGATCTCCTTCCTCCATTATGTAACAGAGATTGGATCTTAGATGACAGTTGCATTGTTCCTTAATTTTATGGGCACAACTGTTTTATTTTAGTTCAGGAGAATTCGCTAAACGAATGTTCTATTGTGGCACTGATGTTTTGAAATTTTCATCTATGCACTTTGTCAGGAGAAAGAAAAGAATTTTATTTTATTTTTACAAAGCTAAATGTGCAAATTTTGGATGAACCCAATGTGCATGGTACTAAAGGAATGGCTCATGGTTGATGGGCATCGAGTCTACTCTAGTTTAGTTATGGGTATCATAGCCAATAAATATTTTTCTGGGCAATTATCAAATGCTGGAGATATTCGTGTGTAATTTTCGTAGATATAAGTACCTTTTTGTTTGACTACCTTCGAGAATTTGATGGATGGCCCATGTGATGTGTTATATTTCACACTTTCTGCCTTCAAAATCATGAATTATTAGTGTGCTTGTACGTCCTATTGATTTTAGTGCTTTACCTTTTTTAATTTGACATTTCTGAACTTTTTTGAGGAGTAAAATGGTTTACTTCGCAATAAGCTCTCCATCACATAGTAGAATTACCGTCTTCCATGATGCCTGTCCTGTGATGGAAAATAGAATTGATGGAGTATTGCTTTGTCATTTAGATGTATAATTTGCTGATACTGCTTTATATACCACTAGAGCGAGTACAGTTATATGGTTTGCAATTTAGATATTTTTACTGTACCAAATCATCTAAGAAGTTTTGGTGCTTAAAGATCTTTGGTTTAAAATATTCCACAAATTTGGCACATCAATTTGATTCTATATGCTAAGTATGCGTTTTATTTTTCACATATTTAGCAGAGCAATTTAGTCGCTCAAAATGTTATATGAGGTGCTTCTTGTACCAAATTATTTTCTTCATTTTTTGAACCTTATTGCAGGTTTCTCGAGGAGGTCAGTCTGTAACTCTTGTTGGGAAGAGTTTGGTCTTTTTTGGGGGTGAGGATGAGAAGAGATCATTACTCAATGATTTACATATCCTTGATCTCGAAACCATGACATGGAACGAAGTGGATGCAATGTAAGAAACACTTTTGCTTCCTTATCTCATAGTTTAAAGCTTCCTCGGTTTTATTCTCCTTATAGATGTGTAAAATGAGCAATGTCTTTCCTTGCTACTTTCAATGCATTTCGAAGCAACATTTTGCAAGGAACGCTTCTTAAGAATTCCTCAGTTTTTCCTGCTTAAGAATGTATTACATGCAATTCGTTACTTTTCCTTCATTAGAAAGTTTTATCGATGATGGTTTCTGATTTTGAATTTATTTTATTGCTATCAACTAATTCTCTTCAAATTGTGGATAAACGAGCAGGGGTATTGATATACTGAGTTATGTTGAAAAGTAAATTTATCATTATTTTTGGCTGTTTTAGCCTTCATTAAAATTGAGGGTCGTGCAAGCTGCTTTTAGGAAGTGCAGTGCCTTTTGCACAAATGGGGTCTTTTTGTAAACTCTTAAAGAAGTTGTTTAATGGTCATGGACTAGGGTGATATCAGGGTGGAAGGTCGCCCAGGAGAGTTACAATTCCGGTACCCTCACCTGCGGCCTATATTTACATGGGCCATTGATATTTTCACAAGTCAAGTCTAGAAAGTCTGTAGGTTATCCTTAATGAGAGGCTTTCTTCATGTTTTCTGTCCCTTGGTTTTCTCTCATTCTATGTTTACCTATCGCAAGCGTATCTATCTAACTCTCTACAAGTAATGGCTATAGCGGTTGAAAATTCTAGCATTAACGCTGATGTAGAGACTGATTAGCCATTTTTCTTTTTTCCTCAATTGAAAAGACTCGTGAGGAGGCTTTTGAGACTTCCCCTCAGAAATTAAACGTCATGGTTTGTCTATGGTTACAAACTTAAACACTGGCAATCACGCCATCCAGCATGGCATATCTTGCTTAGTATCAATAAATTAGTATCATGATATATCTCTGTTTATATTGCTTGACACCAATATGTGCTGACCCAAAGTAGAAAACTCAAGAACCGAAGCAATACGATGTCGTGATTTGCAACCTGATGTACTGAAGTTGTGGGATGTGTGACAGATTATCTGGAAATAATTACTTAGTTTGGAAGGAACATTGGATTAAAAAAAATGGCTTTCCAGTTTAGAATGACTTGCTGCTATATTGGATGACCCTACTTGCAATTTCTGGGAAGGTTTGGATCTGGAAATCGCAAGACTCTAAACAGGAATGAATAGCTATCTGAAGATATGTGGTGATTTATCGGTCTTCTTATACATGAACGGGCTGAGTTTAGGGCTGGATATTCACAACTCCTTCCTTTTTATTCACTCAAGTATAGAGATTTCTCTTTACGAAAGGGATTTTCTTCTGTAGAAAGATTTCCACGGACAGCTTTCCAGATTGGTTTGCCAACTTGTTGCTTCACACCAGGGATATCTATTTTTGACTGGTTCCAAGTTTTGGTGACGAAGAATATAAATAATTGCATGGAGCACTATATGCACCAATTTGCAGTTATAGTCAGTTGTGGTAGATTATACAACGGGTACTTACGGCAGGTTCAATGCAAATATAAGCAGTCAATGGAAATCATGAAATAGAACGAGAAAAGGATACGACAGACAGCCTGTAGAAAGGTGGTCCAATGCAAACACGCGGCATTAGCTCTCTGTGTCATAGTTGGGTGGCAATGGCACCATGGGGCTGTAACATTTGCGGTTCGGAGGCAGGAAATCGCCTTAGCTTAGGAGAAAATATTTATCACTAATCCCTCTCCAGAAACGAATAACGTTTAGTTGATCAAAAATCTGGACACCACTACAAGCTGAACAGACTTTATACTCTTTGAAGTTTGATGGTGTTGTTGTTTTACTGAGGATTTTTAGAACATTCACATGATTGTCTTGGTGTAAGTTTGCATACTTTACTTTTGTGTAAGCCTGATGTGAATTGTACTTGCTATTTAGCAGTGGTCAACCACCTTCTCCAAGAATGGATCACACTGCGGCCATACATGCAGAGCGGTACCTATTAATATTTGGAGGGGCTTCTTATGCCACATGCTTTAGTGACCTGCATGTCCTTGACCTGAAGATTGTGAGTGCAGTTTCTATCCTTCTGTCTTCAACTGTGCCTTAGTTGTCTCTTGTTGAATGTATAAAATAAAGTGATTCTGTTGCAGATGGAATGGTCAAGACCTAAGCAACAAGGTGTCATTCCAGCTCCACGAGCTGGCCATGCTGGTACAACTATAGGAGAGAACTGGTTTATTGTTGGTGGGGGTGATAATAAGAATGGTACGGTTTATATCATTCGATCTCATTGGTTTTCGGTTGTTCTGAGATTAGTACTTTGTTGCTACAGGAGCAGTTTGGTGAATGAGTCTTTATATCTCTTTTATTATTGGGCGTTTTCTATGGTTGATTTAATTTGCATTTAGTTTTTCTCAAATGAGCTGTATCATGATAAGGAGGTATTAGAATAAGTTCATCACTAGAGTCTTTTTTATTTTATCATTATGATTAATCGAAATAAACATACGGAGGATGCGGAATAACCAGCTTAGCTTTTCAATGAATTTGGCTCGGATTCATTTTTTTCTGTGCAAGGCAGCTTTTGAAACATGCCTGCTGCTTGTTTACGTCTGTGATAGAACTCTAATACGTAAAACCACGAGTAGGAAGAGGTTTCAGCTAGAGTTCAAGTTTATGTTTTATAATACCTTCTGATATTTGACCCTATTATGATTATGGTGTCTACATATTCGACCAAAGACATCACTTTGAATTTCTCTCTGTTTTAGTTTTTAAAGAGATACGGAATAACATATTGCCAAACTAATTTTCTGATTTTTTTGAAAAGATTTTATACTGTTTTGAAATTACTTCTAATTTCTTCTTTTTCTCAAAGTTCGAGTTCCTTTTAGGTTTGCCATAGTTCCTCTCATACTATTTTGTTTCTCAACGTGGGTCTTGCTTGAAGATCCTCGCCTTTTTGGAATGAGTCTGGGATTATATTTTTCATTCAGGACGGACCGTCTTTCATATTGCCATGTTACTTAAAATGTTCTTTGACTACTGTTTCTTGGTTGGCAGTTGACAAATTTTGTTCTAGTATTTTTTTTCTTATGCGCTATGTTTCTGAACTTTTTCTGCTTTCTCTGAGACTCTTTATGCTCTTTAACACCAGACGCATATATTTTCCCTGGAAATGGTTGTGGGAACTGTTAACATTTTGAGGCAATTTCAATAGTCTTTCTCCAGCCACTTTTTTCACATAAAAAAGCTATGATCGTCAGCTTTCATTTGTTTGAATGTCTCATGTACTTTGAAACCGTTTCATGGGTGTCCTTCCAAATGTATGTGCAATATTCTGCAGGTATCTCTGAGACGCTTGTGTTGAACATGTCTACCTTGGTCTGGTCAGTTGTTACCGCAGTTCAAGGTCGTGTACCTATAGCTAGTGAGGTGTGTTTCTGCACTCTTCGAGTATCGATTCTCACAACTCCCTTTGAATTTGAAATGCAATGCGATCTAGAATTTAAAAAGAATGCAGTAGGAATTGGATTTTTTCCACTTCTGGACTCAGTATTATTATTATATTATTATCATTTTCTAATTTTACTATTCGGACAAGTAGTACACCATGTTTGGAGGAAATGGTACCCATGGTGTGAAATGTGCTATCTAGAAATTGGTTGCAAAATAAATTCAGCTAATTTCTGCAACGCAAATGACTGTCTAAATATTTTGGTAAGTTACAAGTAAAATCGAGAGGAGGAATTCGGTTTTTATTGATTTCCTAAGTTATTTATCCACAGGGCCTGAGTTTGGTTGCAAGCTCATACACAGGGGAAGATATTCTGCTTTCATTTGGAGGGTACAACGGGCGATACTGCAATGATGTTAGTTGCTAGCATCCTTTTCTCTATTCCTATCTGTACCTTAAAGAACATTCCTAACCTCAGTATCTTCCCTTCCAGGTTTATGCCCTTAAACCAAGCCACAAAACAACATTGCAGTCCAAAATATTTGAAGAGTCTGTGGCAGAGAGCGTTGCTGGCCTTCCCACAAATGCAACCAGAGATATCGAACCAGAGCTTGACACTGATCAAGATGGAAAAGTGAGGGAAATTGTGATGGATAGCATCGACTCACGGCTTGTGGTAATTCCATATATAGTATATGTTTGATGAGTGTTGTAAAGCCCTCTATCTTCCTGTGTGGGCCTTGGGAATAAAATCAGAAAAGGAGAGCCAAGCTGTGAGCCATAAATAGTAGCTCCCTTGTAGTATTTCCCTTTGGCCGCGTTTTTCTAATTGAAGTGGAGTTCCTCTCGCAGAAGGCCAGGACAGAGGAGACATATGAACAACAGCTGGCGAACCTTCAGGGAGAGAAGGAAGAACTGGCAATGATCCTCTCAAAGGAGCAGTCACAGACGAGTCAACTGAAGCAAGAGCTTGCTGAAGCAGCAACACAAAATTTAGAACTTATGAAGGTAAGTACTTAAATAATTCCACAATGGAAATAATAAATAATGCTGCGCGGTTACATTCATGCCACAATCAAATTCGCCTTCATGGAATCAAAGCTGTTTGGTGCTCTTGGATTAAGCACATGTAGATTCTATCTTCGATTTGTGCAAGTCCTTTGAATGATTAGCCCCACATTAATATTGTGCTGGGTACATCTCTCGGGGGAAAATACAGACAAGCCCTCTGCTTTCATCCCCAATAAATCATCAAAATCTCTTGTCCCATGTTAGTACATCACATCTGAAACCAAAAGAATCTTCCCGAGAAGCTGGAAAAAAATGGAGTTTCTTTTAAATTCCCAATTTGTATTTAGCAAAATGAAGTATTTAAATTTGCTTTTATTTTTCTCAGATGTTAATGTCACTTGAGGAACTGACTTCTGAAAGAGCCACGTGCGCCTTGTTACTCTAGAAACATGCTAAAAATAGAAAAACAGGGTTGTTTTTATGAACTGAAATTCCCTGTGTTCTTTTTCCGACGATCTGCAGGAGCTTCAGTCCATCAGAAGTCAGCTTGCTGCTGAGCAGTCGAGATGTTTCAAACTGGAGGTACACACTGATGACTTGATTATTGCCATGGAAAGAAGATACACAGCGTCTTTTTCATTCAATTTCTAGCAAAGTGTTGGTTGTCTGGGTAATTGCGGCATGGCTCAGATTTCCCAGAGAGAATACTAGAAAATTGGCCCTGTCAATCTCAATCCACCTCAGGACCAGGTTTAGCTAGATTTGCTCCACAGCTTGCATATAGTCGCCTTTGTCACTGTCTCTATCTCCCCAGCATCTATCTATTTATATGTCAATATAGATACATATATAGTGGAGCATGGTTTTTCTCTCTCCTGTCGGTGGCACTAGTTATGGAAATAAATGAACCGATCGAGTATCCACAATTGGCTGTTCTTCGCAGGTTGACGTCGCCGAGATGCGGCAGAAGCTGCAGACGGTGGAATCACTACAGAATGAGGTCGAGCTGCTCAGGCGGCAGAAGGCGGCGCTCGAACAGGCCGCCATGACCCCCACGCAGAAGCAGGGCTCAGGCGGCGTCTGGGGCTGGCTTGCCGGAACTCCCCCCAACAAGCCCAGCCCCTGAACCAGCTGGGTTCCTCATATAGGTCAACAATCTTCTCCGGATAGATCTCCATGGGTCATTATATTTACATTCACTTATATTTTATATATTCATGTAAATTTTTTATTTTTTCGTCTGGGTTTTTTGAGAAAAATAAGGGGAACATTTCTGCCATTCTCATGGCTCTGTAATTTATTGCCTGTTCTTCATAATTTGCCATTTTAAAACCTTTGTGGTGATGACGGCTGCCTGAAATCTGATGGTATGGGTCAAGTGATTGCCGGTTATTATTTCATTCGATGATCCAAGAACTTTTATGAGTAGTCCTGGGGGTGGGCACTTGAATCTCGTTTGGGAGCTTGCACATGACCATTCAGATTATAATAATCTTTTTATGCGATGATATAAAAGTGAATATGGCTGATTAATTGCTTTAAATTATGTTGCGTAATAGATCGAGCTCATGTCCATAAATAACGTCGATTATTGGGTACGTGAGCTGTTGCAGCTAAATTTTTGACCGAGGCAACCTGTTCTCTCTCTCTCTCTCTCTTAAAAATTGAAAACTGTCCACCCCTGAGTCCAATTCAACTCACCTCCCTCCGTTCGCGTTGACTTTCTACACAGCCCTTTGGTCAGATCCCAGCCTTCCATAGATGCCCATGAACGGCTTAAGGGTCTCCATCGCCCAATATTCTTCTAATCTCACCTTCCGATATCGGCAGAGTCGAGGCGCCATTCAAGAAGGAGACCGAGGAGATGGCGGAGCTGTCGGCGCGTCCAGAGGTGGAAGTCCAGAAATTCAACCTCCAAGCTGGCCTTCAAGCTGGTCTTCAAGCCCCATTCTCACCGGCGACAGCTTCGGCCTCGCTGACGCCCGTCATCAGCCCATTGTCCACCAGCTCGCGAACACTCCGGTTAACGCCAACGTGAACTGATGGGTTGCCGGCATCCTGGCCGTCGCCATGCAGAGGGCCGCATGGCCGACATCAAGCTTTAGATCGTCCTCAAGTGCTTTCTCCAACGGGTAAGTTGACCTATGAAGCTCATTCCCATGAATCTCTGGACGATTCATATATTCATTGCTTGCGTATTGTGTTCGGATAAGCTTGCAATTGACCGAAATTTGTCATAGTAAAAAGGAAAGCTGTTATAGTTGACACTTTGGAAAGCCACTTATAATGTGCAGAAGATATTAAAATATTTTTAAAAAGTTTAAAAAAGGAGTTATAAAAATAAGATGAGGCCCAAGCATTAGATTTATTGATGTTTTGTGAATGTTTCAATATGTAAAATTTATTTCGACACCATAACAACATGGGTTCATTTGTTTGTTTGAGATATATCTCTTCCCCTTGGACCAACAAAATACTTTAAATTAAATCTCATAAAATCACCACCACTTCGTCTCTCTATGTATATTTAACATCAAAGCACCTCTTCACCTTTATTTCATACAAATAATGATTTCATTTCAATTATATAAGTTTGAACTTAAATGACAAAGTGCATCACAATATTATGAGCCAAATCATAGATGTGCCCAGGGCGCTACAAGAGCTTTGTTTTTGTATAAGATTTGGCAGAACTATTGTTTGTACCCTCTCATCTCCCATAGTAACCTTAGAACTATTTCACATAAGTTGGCCTCAATTATGATCCCTATTATTTTCATATACTAAAGTTTCTCTACATACCATTCCTATTAGAGGAATTCAAATTCAATAATCTTTCAGTTATATGTTTGTTTATTCCTATTAAATTATCAGTTTTAAACCTGAAAATCATTTGAATTGTCATTTCATGGACATTTAGGAAATGAGGTCAGCATCCTAAAACCAAACCTAGATCAGAAATATAAGTTATTTATAAAAGATACCAATGATTATCTCAACCTATTAGGGACCATGACTGAGACTCTCCAAATCTCTTAATGCCTGAAGCCTGAAAGAGATGGCCGAAGGATGGTTAACAACAACAAAAAAAAGCAAAGCAATTGTCCTAAGAGTGTTCTTGAAGAGGGTGAAACTGGGAAACAGTGAGAGCAGGGCGGGAGAGAGAGAGAGAGAGAAGAGAGATAGAGCGAGTTCTTATATCCTTTTGCCTTAACCCATTTATTGACTACATTATAGGCACAACAAAAAAAATTATTCTATTTGATTGAACAGAGATTATCCAAGTATTTCTAATTATTTTTTAGTCTAAAAGAGAAAACAGAAATGGAAATCTGGCGTTCATCCGCAGGCCTATCGTCTTTCCCTAGGTAAGCCTAGTCATGATGTTAGTGACCAGGCGACTCACATCGAGGTGGGGATCAGTGGCGGGTGCACCTTGTAACTCTTCACATGTCCTTCACTATTCCATCTAAGCCCATTATGGGTTTGACGGCCAACTTAAATGTCAACTTGGAAGCCAGAGGGGTCAAACCTCCAGGCATCTACCTCTATCCACATTTGATATCTCCACCCTCCAAGCGTTATATGATCGTCCTTGCCTCAAGAAGAACAAAAAATACAAAAATTTTGCAGAAGGGGCAATGGAAATTCTTACCTTGTCTATGACATGTAGTAAAGATGTTGAATCCTCAATCTTTGAAAGGAGTGATTTGACCAAATGGTTGTAAAGGCATGTAACCTGGTTTTTATTTTGTAACGTAAAATAGTGGATTCAGGGGGAAGACAAGAGATCGGGATTATTTTTAATTGACAGGCATTCGTTTCATCTTATTGTTCTAAGTTTCTTCTTAAATTTGTAGGTATTTTTCTTATATTTTCTCGGTGCTGTGTACCTATTTGTGCTCCTGAAACATATGTTGAATGTCACTAACGGGCATTTGTCGAAGGAAAGTCTGATCCCCCTACCGTTGACTCAACTACCATTAATGCACCATATTACATAGAATAAAAAAATAATAATAAGAAAAAGGAAAATAGCTTCAACTGGGAGCTATATAATCTTGCGAAGTTATGCACACAAGTAAGGTATTTGGGTAATTTCCAAGTGAAATGTGCTCAAGTTTATAGACTGTTGGACATAAAATTGACTAGTTAGTCACATTTACTTCTCCATTACGTAGTATTAGATTATCCAACTAGGCAACCCATATTTAGAACAATTTAATTTGATACCAACTAATATTCTGGTCTGTTAATTGGTTTAAATTATATTGTGTGATGAATTTAACGCAACTAATAATCTTGCTCTAGGGTATGGAAAGAGTTGCTGGCTAAATTTAGTGTTTATTACTTAATTGTTAGAACTACTATGGCATGTTAGATTCGCCGTTACAACCAGTCAACTCAGTGCTTCCTTCATATTAAAGTCAACGGAAGATGGCCTTCGAGATCTTATGCTCATCCGGGGGAGTTTTAGTTTTCGCTTTATAATAAATATCGAATTACCTAAAGACAACCCAAAAATATCTCGAATCATGCATGTCCCACCTTTTTTGGATGAGATTTATTAAAGCTCAATTATTGCTGTTTGAGAGAGACTTCTCCGTTATCTCCCAGGCTTAATCCAATAGAATATATCCGCGTGCCTGCCAATTTCTAAAGTCGAGTAGTTTAATCCCCCCCAGTGCGCTTCCCTCCCACTCCCACCATGGGACACTATTTTCGTAAAAAGCTAGTCCCTCGAGGGCCAGGGGGGAGACTTTGATTAGGGAGCCAGCTGGCGAAGGAGGCCTAAAGAGATGTGTCGGTGTAAGAGAGAGAGAGAGAGAGAGAGAGAGAGAGAGAGAGAGAGAGAGAGAGAGAGAGAGAGAGAGAGAGAGAGAGAGAGAGAGAGAGATGTGTCTCGGTGTTCTATTTCTCTATGATTAACTTACCCAAAACAATATCCTTCTGGTGACTTCTTCTTCAAGGTCACGCGTCTTCCTCTTCTTCCTCTCTCTCTCTCTCTCTCTCTCTCTTCAGGGGCCTCTATATAGCCGTCCAGGCCTCATTCCTTTCAAGGGGCAAGGCTTTTCCTCCCTCCAAATTTTCCGTCGTGCCCGAGAGATCAGGCGACCATGGGAGTCCTCAAACTCCACGGCCACCCTTACTCCGGGGCCACACTGAGGGTCCTCTCAGTCCTCCACGAGAAAGGCCTGGAGTTTGAGTTCGTCCCCATCGACCTCGCCACCGGCGAGCACAAGAAGGAGCACTTCCTCTCCCTGAACGTAATCTCGTTCCCTCATCCTTCTTCCTTCTCCCCTTCACGTTCGTTCCTCGATTCAACTGACCTCGTTCCCCTCCCCGCTGACTTCTTTCGCAGCCCTTCGGCCAGATCCCAGCCTTCGAAGACGGAGAAATCAGGATGTTCGGTAAATTCCTCCCTGTCAATGAATGATACTTCCAGGCCCTCCCTTCTCTTTGATTCCTCTGGTCTCAGCTTCTGAGATCCGCTCGCAGAGTCGAGGGCGATAACGCAGTACTTGGCGCACGCCTACGCTGACCGTGGCACGGAGCTGCTGTTCAAGGAGACGAAGAAGATGGCGGAGATGTCCGTCTGGGCGGAGGTGGAGGCCCAGAAGTTCGACCCCCCGGCCTCTAAGGTGGCCTTCGAGCTGATCTTCAAGCCCATGATCGGCGGCGGCGCCGCCGACGAGGCCACGGTGGCAGAGCAGCAGGCGGCGCTCAGCAAGGTTCTGGATGTCTACGAGGCCCGCCTGGCAGGGAGCAGCTACCTCAGCGGCGACAGCTTCGGCCTCGCTGATGCTCACCATCAGCCCCTCGTCCACTACCTCTTGGGCACCACGGCCAAGGCCGCCTTTGACTCTCGCCCCTACGTCAGCCGATGGGCCGCCGACATCCTCTCCAGGCCCGCTTGGGTCAACGCCCTGGCGCAGCAGAGCAATGCTCCTTGACCGCCACTCTCTATCTTCAATCGCCAATTCCGGTCCCCTTTCTTCCCTATCCTCCGTTAATAACAAGAATACTGTTTACTAATAATTTTCTTGTCGAAGTATCTTCATCATTCACTCGTTGATGATGCAATATATAAGCAGGATTGCCCGTTCGGCCCGATTTCTTACCGCTGGTTTTCTTCCGTCGGAGGAGAGAGAAAGTGCAGAGAGAGTTGGCCGTTGACCCACTCGACGTTGAGTAGGCACAAGAAGGGGTGCGGCAGGAAACTGACGTCACTCTCTCGTTGTTCTCCCCCGTTGACTTCCTTCCCTCTCTCGGCGCTTCTACATCTTGTCTCGATTTGTACTACGCAAATCCGATCTCGGTGGCTGAGGGAGAGAGACTGCAAATTGAACGACGACTTATCGTTCTGGGTAGTCGTGTTGGGGATGTTGCGGCGGAACATATTCCGCAACTGGAGAGGGGAAATGTATCCGAAGGGGAAGGTCAATGTCGGCTTGCTTCGATCACACGCTAACTATATAGTTTCATTTTAATTTTTTGACTTGAATATCATGAAATGGAACTACTTCAGTGCTATTTCCCCGAAAGAATCTCCCACTACCCAATAGCATCATACCTCTCTCGCACCTCCCTCCCTAACTCTATTGCTCTTTCTGTTCTCTGTAGAAAGGATCGATGTTTAAAATGTATGGTGCTCGATCATAAATTCACGCGAAAACCCGTAATTTCTCTATCTCTCTCTCTCCCCGTTGAGGCGCAGTTCTCCGCCAGACACCACGTGGCCATGGTCGTCCGCCAGGTCTATGGGACCACCTTCTCCACAGCCGCTATGAGGGTTTATTCATCCCATATCCGAAACCTCAGAGTCGAGGGCGATTACGCAGTACCTGGCACACGCCTACTCCGACCGTGGCACGGAGCTCATCTCCAGAGAGACGAAGAGGATGGCGGAGAGGTCGGCGTGTGCGTAGGTGGGGGCCCACCAGTTCGACCCGCCGGGCTGGTCTTCGAGCTGGTCTTCAAGCCCGTGTTTCGCCTCGGCGGCGCCGCCGCCAACAACACCGCCGTGGAGGAGTTCCAGGGCAAATCTCTGCAAGGTCCTGGATATCTACGAGGCTCGCCTTTCCCGGATTGAGCACCTGAGCGGGGAGAGGTTCGCCCTAGCCGATCTTCACCACCAGCCGGTCGTCCATTACCTTATTAGTACGCTGGTGAAGGCGACCTTCAATGTCCACTCTCATGTTACCCGCTGCGACGCCAAAATCGTGAGCAGGCCCCCCTGGGTCAAGGTGGCGGAGATGGAGAAGGCCGGTTGCCGATGGTCGCTGCGTGTGTAGTCTGTAGTTGCCGGAGGATCTCTGTTCGATCGGGCGGTCGGGTCTTCGTTAATGCTCTTACATGACGATGAGCAGAGAAAAGCCAAGAAGAGAAAAACCTCACTCTCTCTTCGTTCCCTCTCACTAGCCTTAAGGGTCTTCTATGTCGACCCAATCTAACTCATCAATCCCTATTAAAATATTTTAGGCATAATTTTTATCATCATTCATCTGTTCAAATGCGAATGAGATAATTACAATATATTATTAATCTTTCAAACTTAGCCTATTTCACTCTATAAAATGAACATAATTGGAAGATTTAGGCCATTCTCTAGAACAATAAGCCCGATCAATTCAATGTTAGCTGGTGTAATTCCCACTGGATGTTAAAGAATTGAGGGTAAGATCAGCTTGGCGTCCATGAAAACAACCAAAATTTCGTAAAATAAAATAAAACAAATATATTTGGAATAAACTTTTTAGATTCCAAGGTTGACTTGAATTCTCAAGAGATCAGCACTATGATGCCATAGCATCCCGAGGTCAATAAGAAGAAGATTTCTTAATTTCAGCTCAGTGATTCCATCAAAATTCGTCTCTGTACATATAATACTCCCATCTCAGTGAGCTTGGACGTGGGGGTGGGTGGGTGGGGGGAAGGGGTCTCCTTACTCAAAACGGGGAGCATGTTGTCCATATTCTTCTGTGGGTTAGTTCTTATTGCCATCCCAGTGTTCCATACCTAAGATATTAATATAAGGAGAGTACAAAGCAGAATCACAATAGTGAGTGGCCACTGTAGTACTTTTGATTCTAATCAATTTTGAAGCTAACCATATACAAATTTCACATAATTCTAATTTCTGTTGTACGTTGACTGGATTTAGAGTAATCAGGGAAAAACTTTTGGGACAAGGCAGAAGGACTCATACCCTCAGTGAATGAGAAAGCTTTATATGATTAACAATGACCCCCTTTGTAAGGTATGAAGTAATAGAATTTAACGTTTGTAATATGATCAATAAATAATTGGGAATGTAAGGATCAGATTGAAAAGAGGTCTCATATCAAACTAAAAAGCATCCAATAAAAAAAGGAGAGAAGAAATTATAGACTTCCAAACCTTAAGATTCCCTCAAATTTATTTATAAATTTGATGCCACACTCCAATTCGAGTTGAAACTAGAATAAAATTAATCTAATGAGAATTTCTTGAGATCAATTATGTTATAACTGTGCACAAATTATGGAAAATATAAACTACTTTTGATATCATTGAGTTCTCAGCATTAATGGAGGCACTCTTTCCCATGAATAACCATTTAGCAAGATTTTTTTTATAGAATTCCTTAAGCACATCTTTCTCTTGAATAATGTAAAAGATAAATATGGTACAAAAATAAAAGGAAATAAAGAGGAAGTAAAAAAATATCACAGAAGTAAATAGCTCTCATTTTCCCAAGATTTTTTTTTTTTTCACATTTCATTATCTTGCTTCAGACCATGGATGATCTCTGCTAATTTAGGGTTTGTGTCCACCTCATTCCAAACTGGCTATAAATTCAATGGGAAGGAATGAAGCATCACTCCCACTTGCAATTCTGCTATGGAATTCATTCATAAAAGTGCATATATTGTGAGATTCGTAATACATTTTTTGAATTTTGATTTCGAAATTATACGACACCAGCTTATACACAATATTCATATTGAGGTGGTGTTTGCTACTACTCAATAAGAAACTTTAAGTTGTAATGGTTAGTAAAAATCATAAAATTATTGCCCATAAAATATTAATGTGATTTTTGTGCTACCCAAACAGTTGCCATGGGATTAATTTTGTAAATAGTTGAGGAGATAATACTTTATTGAAATATGTCGTGAGCTTCTTTGGACACCCTTTTTACATCAACACAGCTCCTAAACATTGATTGAAAGCATCTGCCTCTACAAGAAAAGGTTGAGAAACATTAGGCAACCCTAAGCCTAATGTGGAACTAATAATTTCTTCCAAATGATTGAAGGCTTGCTCAGCTGCCTCTAACTATTGAAAAGTGTCTTTCTTGAGTAATTGTGTCAAGGGATAGGCAAGATCAGCCTGCCTAGTTATAAATCAACAAAAGTAGTTTGTCAAGCCTAAAAACCCTCTCAACTCTTTTAGATTTTTTGGTACTAGCTAGTTCTACATTGCATCTATCTTGTTACTGTCTACTGTCATACCATGTGCTGGTATTCAATGCCCCAAGAAATAAATGATATCTTGTATGAAGAAAACTTACTATTGAGATGTGTGGATACCCTCAATTTTAACACATGTAGTGTATTTAGACACATACAATGAAAATTTTATTTATGAATCATTTTTGAATTTATTGAATCATAAAATATATCATAAATGAATTTATTTTTATCATGATATGAAGTAAGGAACAAGATAGAGAAGTTGTTCCCACATAACCTTCACAGTAACACCTTAGAGTCTTACATGTTAAAAAATAATAAAATGAAACAACCAAACGTCAATCAAACATCAAGGAAAATAACAATAATTGAATTTACACATACATAGAGACAAAAGTTTGAAGATAACTTGTGAGTGACTTGTGTGTTTTGAAGTGAATGAAAACTTAAAGGTTAGCCACTCACACTCTAGACGGCGATACATAACTAGAGTACATAGATTAAATAAAATGCTTAAATAAAATATTTTAAGTTGACCATGAAGACAAGTATGTCCCTTGATTAATTGACTATCAAAGGCAGTACAACTATGAGGTGGAAGATCTAAATAGAAATATGACCAATAGTCAAAAGCCAAAATTATGTATGGTAACTCAATAGAAGATTTGAACTAAGGACTAGCTGAATGATCACCTCTAAGTAAAACTTTTAAAAAATAGATACTTGTAGATGAGGTACAAATCTCTACACAAGATATCGCAAACAACTATCCTCTTGAGTAAGTAGTTTAGAGATAAAAAGTAACTAAAGGTCACCATAATACTAATAGAGTAATTAAAAGATATTCAAGTTCATATGACTACTTTCATATGCTGATATAACATGAATCCATCGGAGTATAAATAGAAGTTAACCATATGTGCAAAGTTTAACCCATTGAGGAATGTGTTCTCCAAGATGAATGTTGAGATGTTTGAAAGGAAGGCCAAGCAAGCTTAAAACCCTTCTATATATTCATTTACGATCAAGTATTGGTTGATGTTGAGGAAACAGTAGCAAGCAACAATTCTAGCATATTTCAAAACAGGTTTCAAGTATAAGTTGCCTCAAAAATAAAAATTGGTCCATTGGAAGTTTAATGAAAATATGCTACATGCTTGATGAGGAATAGAGTTGTAGGAAACGAAGTACTGCAAAAGGCACAACTGAAAATGTGAAAATGGTGAAACAAAACGAGTCTGATAGTGTTGTTCGGTAGGTCTATTAGACTGAAATGTGTTTTCTTGTTGTAGACTAGTAATTACTTTGTTTTATAAGAAATTATTAACTACTAGAGAACTACTTGCCTGATCTTATTATTGAAGAGATTTATCACTATGCCCTATTTAAAGAGTCGCAGTATAGACCAAGATGGCTTTTTTCAACCAAGAAAAAGCTTTTCCACCCACTTTGTACTTATGGATTCAATCAATCCCTTCTTGATTTAGGAGATGTTT